CAATCTGTGTTCAGACAATTGACAATATCTGTGTAACTATATCACACACTGTTAACTGATATTATTGACTGTGGGTATATCTCTGCCAATTAGTGAACTACCAGAATACATGTTGGTATCCCTAGTCCATTACTACATTAACTGATACCGACATCTACATGTGTACATAACACACAGGGTTTTGTCTACTAAGTAGATCTATTGACCATACTCAATGATATATAATATTTACATTTACTACTGAGGACAAATATTCCACATAAAAATTCTACTAAAATCAATTAATTCTCGATTAAGTTTTCAACTGTAGTTTTAATTTGTTAATCATCGTGTCCGACAATACTTCACACGGTCACCTATGTTCATTTATTTAAAACTGACCGCATCAATTCATTACTATATTTTTCCAGATATTGAGCAAGAGGTATACATCATTTTGTTAGAGATGGTATTAGATTTTCATATTCAGATTGCATTGGGGTCCTAATCGACTGTTTACTTCCTGTATGCACTATGTGTTAGGTACACGGTACTGATGAGTGAGGTGAGTCACTGTATTGACAGGTGATTAGGTCATGATCAGTATGATGTGATTACCTAATTTACCTGTGAGTTTGGTACCTGTGATTTGTCCCTAGGGGTTCATAATCAGACAGTACTTGATAGATGATGATCAACTAGTAACCCAAATATTGCCCTGTCATAGACGTTTAGGTAGTTAGATACCTATACAGGTAGTTAGATACCTATACAGGTAGTTAGATACATATACAGGTAAGGGTAAAGTTACCCAAACATTGCCCTGTCACAGATGTGTAGGTAGTTATTAAAGATACGTATACACGTAGGGGTGTACATCCTGCTGTCCCAAACCTTCAATTATTAAGTTTCCGTTTCGGTAAAATTTACAACTTTATTTCACTGTAGTAATAGACATGGACAATGGTGTATATCCTACTGTCCCAAATTGAAGCTTCAATTAAAACACTTCTCATTAGGTAAAACATGAACTTTAATTTCATTGTAGCTACTATGTATACACATACAGGGAAGGGGGTGTACATTATTGTACATCATGCTGTCCCATTTAGCCTCGTGCCAATTCACAAGTACTTTGAATTGAAATTAACAGTCTGTAGAATTAACAGATATAAAAAAATATTGCATGGTGTCCATTTCAAGTCAAGGACACTTTTTTTCTGTTAATCAATTTTAAGCTATATTATATACAATATAACTTAACTAATGTAGTTATCAAGGCTTCTACGCCAACTTTCAGACAAGCTCTCTCCAGGTGTAGTAGACCATACCTTATATAGGTATATATATGACAAGCTAACTAATGGTATATGTGTTAGCTATAGGGTATGTCACGCACCGTTCTCATTTCTGTGACATAATCATTCTGACATATATTGCCTGTAGGCTTTCAGCTAATTTTGTTACTCCATCATTTTGTACGATCTTTGCTTCAAAGAGACATAAATTTAAATTTGGTTTTAATGTTTTAACGTATAGTTAGTACTGCAGAACTTTTGTAAAATCCTTGGTAGTATGCTTTTGACTTCCCATATGTAGCTTTTGATACCTGGATATCAGAAAACCATGTGTGTTTGAAAAGTATTTGAACCTCAGAATTCAAGTGAAAACTTAAGTACGAATGGTCATCTGAAGTCTTGGTAGTGTTCTAAAATTTCTGTGTTTTGACAGTCAAATATATTTCAATTAAAATATGAACCATTAATAAAAATTGTAAATTTATTTTCTCACAGCACCAATAATTATGATGTTGCCAAAAAACTTCTGCACTGACCATCGTCCAGTCCTAAGCCTCTGACGGACTCCTTATAATTTGGACTTTATTCTATTAAATATGATATCATGATCATTGCTAAATTAAAATAATTTCTGTTGGAAAGGAAGCAATATTAAGACCTGGGTATATATATTTCTGATATGATGGTCTACTTCATTTTTACCTTTTTACTACATAACCAATTTACCATACAAATATAAAGATACCTGCCAACAAAAACTCAATCTTATCCACATTACAGGTGCAGTTTATGCATGATTCACAAAATAACTATGCAGTCTTTACATGTTCAACATAATCAAACTTTGCATCAGTTTAACAATTTTTTTACCAAAATATTTAACTGAGCAAGCTGAACATTTTAATCTGATCCATCAAAACAGAAATTTAAATTTTCCAATTTGTTGAAATATCGACTTTGTATGTTACAAATTTCGTTACAGCGCAGTCTATACTTAAATTTAATTTGAATACATCAAACTTGTGTTCAATCAAGCATGCACACACCTAATTCGTACTCGGTACAAATTTTATTTACAGTTTAGAAAACTTGTACTTTAAATGTACTTTCAAAAACCTTTTCCTGGTTGTAACATCAAAATCACTTATAAATAGAATAATAAATATTCTGTGTGTATAGGTCTGTATGCATTTACATGTTCAAACGTCATGTTTCATTTTGTTCCGCGAGTTAGTGACTCACAATGATTGACCCTTCTTGACTAACTTTTATTTGGGCTGTATAACACTTAACAGCACAGTTACTTCCTACTCGGGCTGAGTGACCTGTCACGGGTCCTATTTAAAGGGTTTGAGAGTTTAATCACCTGTTTATGACCCGTTCATGTCCCCAGACATAAAACTACAGCTATAGTTGGGGGCCAGGGGTGGGTAGAGGTTGGAGGTGTGAAACTGACCCTCCTATATATAATGTATGATAGGGTGAATGAAGTGAGACCTGGTGACCATCACTAAAGTTATTTCACAAACACAAACTCAGGAAACACTGGTCACTTTAATTTATCTCTATGGGGAAATGATGTTTGAGACTGTTCTATCCCATTGCAAGACATCACAATTGCAATCTAGCTAGTCTGTGAAGGAGAGGGTGTAATGTATGTCCCCTATACATGCCACCATATAATGTCTTGACTATATGGTTTACAACCTAATAGCATGCCAACAATTTAATCAACTGGACTCCATTGGAATGTCACATGCTATTATACCTATAATAGACTTTCAAACCAAAGTCAGGCAAAGGGCCATTTGTCAATAAAAATGGGGTTACAACTAAAATGTTCAGAATTGATAAAGAAAGAAGTTCAAATCCATAAGGACATTTGTGTCCTTTCAGATAAACTGGTTGCTATTTTTCCTGAATATGTATTTTATCATTGAAAAAAGATTATAAAATTGATGTTAACTGCTCAATTCCCACAGACACTTCAATGTTTAGGGGGAGTAAAAAAAATACTGCAGGTACACAGCTATTGTTCCATCAACACTTGCCAGGAAGACATTAAAAGTTGGTTTAAAAACTGTAAACTTAAGCATATAAAGCAATCTTGACATCTGTCTACATTTGCCAGAGTTCTTTATCTGAAAACACAACAAACATATGCTGAAGTTTAAAGTCAAAAGAAGTCGATGCCAATTCGGGTTCCAAAAGTTACCTTGCTTGAAGGTTGATCCAAGTTCAAAGGATTTCTGTGGGGTTTTTTTGCAACTTTATATGTAAACCTTTCCTCAAACGCAATTTTATAAAAGCTAGTATACAAATGACCTGAATAGACAGAACCCCTTCTGAGTTCTGAAAATGTTTTCTTCTCCAGGGTCAATATCTTATCAACGATTATCAACGATGACACAACAAGCTTTAACCGTCATAAACTGACAACTTCAACACTCAAGACCTGTGTGATATCTAGGCTAAAGAACTCGGCTGCTTCATGACATTGATTTGGTAGACTTAGCCTTGGTCTGCCAATAACATTTATAGACAAATACAGACTTGTTTAAATTATGCACACATTATTTTCTATTACACTTTCTTAACAAATCAATACTTCAGTGTGCACTGTGCAGTTACCTTACATTCAGAATCTTCTTTGAGTTGAAATGTTTAATTATTTTGTACACATTGTATCAAATAATGTTCACTGATAAGATTAGAATAGGTAACTACTAAGTATATTTACTGGGCTAATACTTGAACCTTGATAATTTATAACATTCTCAGGTAAGAGACTTACTCTGGAGATAAAACCCCTTAAGACTTGAACTATCATTTATCTTCACAGCTAGCCTGATTACCAATCCTCTGTATGTGTTAGTTATGAGGTTACTATTCAAATAAACATTTATGATACACCTTTTGTCCTAGTCTGACGTTTTTGACTGTCTTTTAATCTGAATTTCTGTGTTACTAAATAGAAGACACCGAAATAGTTAAAACTATCATTGATAACTAGTACTGCTCTTCAGTATAATATTAAATACAATATTTGAAAATTTTAATACTTGATTCATAAAACGTCATTAAAATGTTTAATAAACCGTTTTTAAATTGTAATTTTAAATGGTTCATTTGCATAAAATATTCATTTACTGCTTTACTGCAATCGGTTGTGTTACAATAGGAATATATTTTCAAATCAGTTTAAAAATGTGATGTTATGATATTAACTTATAAGGCCTTGTAAACCGACAGTAGTGCTAACGACTAGTTATTTTCAACATGCCAATATAAGTTCACGTACACAAACAGAGACGAATTCAAACATTCTATTAAATCGTACAGCTAGATTCATTTTATCTCCCACAGTCCAGCAGTCCCTTTAGACTGTGCCGCTTGTGTACGCTAAGGTGGGGTAGTGTAACTGGTCATATCTCCAAACACAGACGAACAGGTGCCCGTTCCTTAGGAAGCGCCCGTTTTACATTTTACGGGTCGTATCAAGTTTTCACTTTTTGATAAAGTTCTTTTACAAACATGAGTGTAAGGTGACATTAACACGTCCAGGTTTAATCTCTAGAAAGAATAACAGTTAGTTGTGTTCAGGTTTAGCCAAGCGAGACACTCCCAAAACAGACGCTATTTTTATCATCTGTACTGTAGACGACACAGCCGGTCGACCGACAACATGACAGTGGGGATTTATACATGTTCGTACTAACTTACCTTTGACAAACACCAAAACTGCGACAGTCGAATAAACTAAATACTGCAATAAATCCATTATTCTGGTTTGCTTAAGATCCATGCCCGAAAATGTTATCTGAAAGTTCTTTCCTGCTCAATTCAAATTCAACACATCCGCCATCGTTTGAGTCACTTCCCGAAATGCCCCACAATGCAGTTCGGCTCAGGTAAAACTATACACCTGAGATTGTCTGGGGTCCTAAATGGGGAAATCCAGGTGTGATTTGATTACAATGGCAATTCTAACAAACTGTGTGTCTTTAGTTTTAATAACGTTTTGAGAAATTACCAGTATGTTAGCGGTTGTTTTGGAATTGTGGCAAAAATAAAAAAATAAAATTTTTATTTAATAGAGAGATGATTTTAGCCAATAATTACAATAAATACCCCTTGATGGCCTCCGGAAGGTACAGCCCAGGAAGCTGTAATGAGTAACACAGCAGATGACTGTCAACTTTACTAATTAGATCGATAGTCACTTAAGCATCAGTTTACACTGAAATATTATTGCGTAATGTTTCTGCCACAATTGTACTGCTCCGAAAATAACAGACTATCTCTTTGTTGTCGTTTTTTATGGGTCGTCGTATCCAAACAAAAGGTAAAAGGAGAGAGTCAGTTAATTCATTCTGACTAATTTTTAACATGATCACTTCACAATAATCAAAATGCAAATGAGACTTTACACATATATAGTTCATTATGTAACAAAGCAAAAGTATATTATGGATTTATTACCTGTGCTGTCTCGGTTCTGAATGTCGATAATTGCTAGCAAAACAAAAAATGAAGTAATCTTAGATACAGATAATTTAATTGAGTCTCACCACGGAATTAGGTTATCTAAGTCTGTGGTCTCACCTTCCGTTTACATAAATATACAATGATAAAATATCAATATGACGATAGTCACTCTATAATTAAGAGTTGCGACAGACTAAAAGTATATATTTTGGAAATGATAACTGGCCGATTGCGTTTTTGAAAAAAAAAGTGCAATATGCTGGGAACATTAATTAAGTGTTTCGTTTGGAGGTAAGTAAAAATTAAGTCTTATCATATCGGGAGTAGGTACAAATTCTTTATTTTAAAAAAAAGAAGATTATATAACAAAACTTGAATAGCTGTTGTCATCTAATTACTGACATTTTTTTCATGAACTGAACCTCCGTTTAAAAGGAGAGAAAAGTGTCGTTTGGACTGAGGAGTGTACTAGCTTCGTTGAATGCCACAAGCGACAATTTCTTGTATCATGTATTGTACTAGCTGCGATGATGTAGCTTCAAACGACGAGACATTTTTTTGTACAGTTTGATACTGCATTCTGTTTGTATTGTAACTTACATGTCGGCCCTTGTACGTTGTCAAATTGTTAAGTGCAGCAAAGACTGAACAAGGAACTAAATCGAAGTAATATCAAGTCATTCTTAGTTTCAATGTATTGATGGCTGTAATGAAAAGTTCCTTTATAGTGACGTAGTTGAACGTGTTTTTTTCCAAGATGTGGAATTTTAAAAAAAAAATCTTTGCTAATCACTTTAAATTTCTTTATTACATGTCATAACACAAACGACTGTGTACCACTTCTGTGTGATGCGATGTGATATTTTTTACAATTATCAATTATCAATCACCAGATTTTTTTAAATATCTGATAACTTACGATGGCTTCAAACTGTGTGTGGGGGTTACTGACGGACTGGAGTTAACTCTAACCATGTACTTCTATAGTCCTTCTAATAAACTTCAATATATTTAATCTAATTCCGTGCACTAGCTCTATCATTACACCTAGTCAGTGCGTTTAGGATTTGTAGAAAATATTCTTATAAGCCGAATTTCAAGTCATGGTGCATGGTATTTTTATCATTGTATTACATCCTAAACTGGTTACTTTGTATCTTTGTTAATTTGAGAATAATGGTTTGGAGATAATTGTAAACATTACAGAGTTATTCCCCTTTGAATACGATGACGAGCCTTCGAACGTTTTCTATACTCGGAGTTTCTGCAATACCACAATCGAGAATAGCATTTGAACACCTTGATTTTTTTAAGTATGTCATGACCTTAAATAACTTTTTTTTATGATAGTAGTTGTAAGAATCACACTCATAGGTAAGTAAGTGTATGTAGTACAATATATTACATTGAATGCTCCAAACAGATATATACCACGGTGACATACCCCCCTCCCCCTCAAAGAAAGAACTCGTCCCGAGTTTTCCAGGGGTCATAGCGATTCCTTTGCAAGTATCGCTGAGTATTTTTGTCAAATCTCCCGGGTCCCTGATTGGGCGCCAATGTAACAGAGGTAATTATTTTTAATGCCTCCGCCAGGAGTCGAACCTCGGACCTCTGGCTTTCTAGTCTTACACTGCCTGTACTGTACCGAATGAGCTAAAGAGAAATAATTCTCCCTAGCCGAGACGGTGGGAAGCGGCTAGCATTTTACTAGGTTGACACTAAAATAACTTTTTTTATGACAGTAGTTGTGTATTGAAACCCAGAAACCTGTAGACGTCGAGGCATCAAATATGCACATGATCACATCATGACATGGAGGCAAATACACCAACATTTCCTGCCCTCCAGCATACATACCTATGTATACACACATGTAGTTGCGTCCTTAAATGAACAGTTACCCGTTAATAGGACGTTAAACACTATAACACCCAAACTAAATCAATCTACAGTCAAAAAGCTCTCTAAATACAAAACTGTCCTTTGCAATAAAAAAAGATCGTTGCGGGCAATATACGATTGTACTACCGGGTGCTTTACTGTAATGTTCTTTTGCTTGTCACATCTCACCGAAATATATACATGAAAAGGTGCCGCCAGAAAGTTGTTAATCCACACGACTATCACTTCCTTTTATGGTGGTTTACGTCACACCGGGGATTAATACCTGTCTGAGGTCGTTCATCATACGGCCCTTCAGGGTCAAAGATTAATTGGGACTACTATACATGCATTAGCGATTATATAATTATTGTCCAGAGCTTGAACTGAACTATTTTATTTAAAGATAATATGCTATATGCTGAGAAACTATACTGACCATCTTTAACGTAATTTTGGGGATGTTGTCGGAAACCAGCAATATAAGTATCGTGCGGGGGTATTTATCAACCGTGAACTTTGTGACAAGCTTTAGATAAATATTATATAAACTGCAGCAGAACCATTGGGTAATTCTCAACAACAAGTATGTAATTACTGTTGAAACAGGGTGTGAATCAGTCTTAAAAAACATGACAGTTTAAAAGTAATCTATATCACATGTTTATATCACATGCTAAATAATGTCAGACAGTATGAAAACACGCCAGGTCACTGAAGCCTAACATTCCGCCAGCTTCTTTTATCGAAATCAAGTTGTATGGATTTCCTCCCTTTGTGTCTGGTTAACCCATATGCAAAAGTATTCAAATTCCATCACTAAATCATGTCCCATACTAAACTGAGACTGCAGGAATTTTCAACGTATTTATGCCCATTTGTTTTAAAATTGCTAAAACGTTCATCACTTTTTAACGTGTATGGTGTCCAACCACGGACTTAGATAGTCCTAATCTAATTCAGTGGTCCAACTTAAACAACGTATTTTTTTTGTTTATTGGAAGTAAATAGATTATTCTTTCATCTACATACACAATTAAATATCTACCGTAGGAAGGTCTCAATAGAGTATCCAAATATCTACCTGTAACACATTGCGTCTCCTGATGGACACCGCGTTACCTGATCCCTATCTCGTTACAGGTGCGGCGTTGATAACACCGGACAGGTATGACCCTCCCGGGGCCACGATTTTAATCAAGATCCTAACGAGGCATTGTAGTACACAGTAGGGAGATTGATGGCACCAGAGTGACCAGTAGGTTGTCGGTCAGTTGGTCCTGAGTGACCTCTGGCTAAAACTCTACATGTTATATGAGCAGGATGGGCCGAGTTTTCTATCATCGTTCGGTGTAGGGAGAAATGACTGACAATGTACAAGACCAACTCGGACATATGTGGGCAAAACAGCGGTCTGGTTCCATGTTACCTGTATCAGGCGGGGTTTGAAGTTAGATATTATAACGCGAATATATACTCCACAAATACAGCGCAACATGATATTTATAGCTGTGCATTTCCGTTCATCACCCAACCCAGAGAGGTATATATTACATAATAATATATCCGTCTCTGCCCAGCCCGATATTATATATCTAATTAAATAAACATTCATTAACTTAATTGTATTATATAACACGATAGCAGTATGGTAGAATCTGCCAAAAAATACAATGTGTATCAGAACAGAGACGTATATAATACGTAATGAATAAGTTCGCACCCATATAACCTATGTAAGCCATCAGAATAATAAATGGTCAGAGCGGCAGTGAGTTCTTTAGGGGTTTTACGTCAGCTTCACTACCGAGTAGTTCGGGTGACTGTGGCTGAGGTTTGTTTGAGCTTAATATTGGGAGTTTTTTGGCATTTTTTTGTGAAGATATAATTGGCATTCACAATGTATTCAATCGCATTATTTTATTTTATGAAAATAAATGTCCTGTATGATTTGCCTGAATACAAAATAATAATCCGACAGGCTTAGTTCTATACCTCTTCAAATTTGGCCCGCAATGAAAATAAAAACTGTTTCTATAGTGACGCCTGTATCCGAAAAGACCAGACATGTGGCTCCGAACTGGCCTGATTTCCATCTTTTTGTTATCCTGTTTTTAACCAATTTTTAACCATGCGCACTCCAAAAACAAAAATGTCATTATAATCCACGTGATGATTGTGGACATTACGTGGCAGAAGCAGACTTGAAGGATATAAAGGATAAGCTTTGCAGTAGGATATTATTATTCGATCATCTGGAAAAGAGTACATGAGGAACTACAACCACGGACTTAGATAATCTAATCCCGTGCTACAACGTTGATTGCAGAGTTATCTTCTCTTGTGAGCAGGTATTGATTGTTATGTCATTGGTTTGTGAGAGTAACGTCATCAATTTTTGAGAAAACGACGTAATTTTCTCACACAAACCAATGACGTAACAATCAATACCTGCTCACAAGAGAAGATAACTCTGCAATACGCAAAGACGGAATAAGACTTAAAACATTAGATTAATCACGGACTTAGACAGCATCTAATCTAATTCCGTAGAATAATCTTCATTTGCAACTTACAACTCTACGAGTCAATTAAATTGCATTTGAAATTTCTTCGTACAAATCAACACTGCCAGAGAGCGCTACTATTTAAACAGACTCATTCGAAATTAAAAAAGGAAGCTTCTGTCATTACTATTAAAAATAAAAATGTTTATAAAAAAAAAAATACCAATAATAAATAATATATGTTGTAGGTTGTTCTTTAACATGAAGCGAATATTTAAATGAATGATATTTTCACGGATCAGTTACCATGTTCTCTATCGCACACGACATGAGACACCGTTCTTTATCACAGCTAAGGAAGACAGAGTTGTGTGCCTTGAAAGAGCTCTCTTTGCTACACAAATTAAATACGCATGCGCAGTGTACCATAGCAACAAAGTAAATCCAAGATGGAGGGTGACGGTGAGAAACCACCTTCTCCGAAGCCGGAAAATCCAGGTATACTTTCAGAAGCAAACACCAGTCTTGATAAGATATCAGGAAATATATAGATGAAAGTGTCATGTTAATGCCAACATTGTACGATAGTACTATACGATGCTGTGTATCAGTAAATGGGAATAATAACAGCTAGGTGCCCGTCAGATTGCACGAAACAAATTTTGTAAACACACAATTTACAATTCTTTTGTAGACACATACCGTTCAGTAGATTACTAGAAACCTCATGTTTCTCAGTTCTATGGTAACTTACTGCTATTGTAATACATTTTTAACCGTTAGGTTATGAGGCAAATAATTATGATTGATATATATGCAAAATTGACCACGTCTAAAGTAGTTTTTTTGCAAACGTTTCATTATGGAGTTTATTATCTCCACAAAGCTGGCGATGCATTTAAGTATGGTATGACAATGTCGCATATTCATTTTAATAACATAATCATGTCAGATGTGTAAAACCGATTAAATGGCGACACGTGCAGCCCACGTATTCTGGCATTGTTAAAGTATTGTATGATAGATATGTGGTTCAAGCGACGAAAATATTCTGTTGCTTTAAGTGTATCACACACCAGGTTTGTCTGTTCATTGTGGTGATATCCTTGTTGTAGCATGTCAAAGTTGTAAAACATCCATTGTGTTGTAATTATCATTACTTCCCATATAACAGGAACTAATTGCCTAAATATTTGATTATTTCCTGTAAAAAATACTGGGCCAGAGATAGTCTGAATATCATCCATAGAATTGTGTATCGACTTTGATTTGCATTTGACTTGATGTTTTCTTGAATCCATCAGGTATGGAAAGTATGTTGACATGCCCAGGTATACAAGAATACATGTTTTCAAAGAGACCTAAATTACTAATGGATGATGATCTTACACCGATTAAAGTATTTTGTTTTTAAAAGGGGGGGGGCTATTTAGTTTGAGTGCTACCTAGATGCAAACATTTAGGAGATCCTTATTTTGCAGTGATTAAAGAATCAGAGCATTGAAGACAATAGATTTTAGTCTTAACATATTAAAACATAAAACAAAATTGTGACTTAATTGCTGCTGATTTGGTTGAAAAACTATCAAAACAAAAATGTGCTATTTAAAAGTAGATCAATCTGACTTGCACTATCTTTTTTTTTGTATATATATATACAATTAGCTATTCTGGTCTTTGTGTCACTCACAATGCAACATTGTAAAATGTAAAGTTATTTAAATCAGTGGCCTCCATCAGCACCCGATTCTGATTCAAACCGTCATTGGAGTGGACTGAAAAGGTATTGATAAATCTGGGTTATTTTGTTATTTTGTTTTGTCAAGTTTACTTTACAAGAGCATCCGCTATAAATATACTGATTAGGTCAGGGCTGGGTTGATCAACAGTGTCAGGCAGCTTTGCTAGTAGAGAAACTTAGTAGAGGTTGGAGGTTCCAGACTCGTTCTATGTTAGTCATCCTACATGTACTATATATGTTTACGTTTGTTCAAAATTTGAGTTGATTGCAGATTCAGAATGATGCTATATTGCCTAGATATTAGTTCATTCTGTTGAATTTGTTTGGCTTTTAACTATTAGTTGAAAACTTGCTTCAGTGGATGAGATATATATCTGAAAGATCGTTAAAAATATTGAAATTGATTTATGATTCTTTGCTAATACATTGTATAAAGTTCACATGTATGTTAAGTTTCTATTTGAAAGTTATAATGATAAAAAATACACACCATACCAATAATAATATAAGAAATGATTATTTTAGTGCCTCAACCAATGTTTTTTGTAATATTAAAAAAGCCACAATAAGAATTTACAACATGTTTTTTTAAGGATGAATATTGCTATTACTCTTAATGACATCTTTTATTAATTTGTCACTTGAGGATCCCTCAACTCTCCAGCATCAGGCTCAGGCAATGAGGGTCGTAAGTCACGGAATTTAAAAGAGGCCACCTCACATTTAAAAGAGGAGGCTCTTCGTAGATACAGGCTGCGCCAAGAGGCAATGGCATCGTCAGACTCTGGGGGAGAGGGGACTCCCCTTCCACCAGGAACTCAGATACCTAAACCTCCAGAAGGTGAAAAACCAGCAAGCAGAAGGAGTAGTCCTAGACAGAGAACTACTCAGTCTGGTGAGGTATCAGAAATACAAAAAACTGATACAGTGGCTGTAATGATTGAGGAGAAGAGTGACGTGTCTATTGAAGAGAAGATGGTACTGGATACTGAACATGTTGTAGAAAATTCGGTTGATCTTCAGGAATGGGATAGTGCATCTAATACGCCTGTACTGGAGATTGAACGGAGCAGTCTGAGCAGGGAGAGGGTGCCGCAGACACGAGTCGTAACCTCGACCTCCGTCGATATCGACACCATCAGTAGGCAGATCATCACCACTGAAGCAGACGTGGAGACGATTGAAAAACAAATCATCACCACCGGCGACGTTTCTGGACTGGCAGAGACGGAGATCCTAAATATGGTGGAAATGATGGAGAAGAGCCCGGGAGAAAGATCAGAAAAGAAGGTAACCATCACTGAAGAAGTAATAGTTGATACGGTAAGAGATGACAAAACTCCGGAAGTGCAAGAGAGCAGGGTTCAGCAGAGTTTAGGAGTGGTCCAGATGACGGCCCAGGAAATGTCTCGGGAGCCGACTCTCGATGAGAACCTGGACATGGTCGCCCCATCAACAGACGAAGTCGTGTCACCAAAGGTTTCTCGTGAAGCAACGTTGGTTGAGGAGGACATTGTTCCCACACATTTAGGAACACAAGAAGTTGCTGTTAAGGCGGGACAATCGGGAGGTATTGCGACTCTGTGCTCCACATCTGTGCACCGCCTAGCATTCTGTTCTCTTCAGGCCCTTAGACATCTTCTGAAAATCTTCAATGCTTTCATCTCAATCCACTCTTTGATATTTCAGACTACTTTGCATGTCCACAACAAATTTCACATATTATGTATCATTAGTTTTAAGCTGTTTGGTATAAATACATTCTGTTCATGTTCAATGATAATTTTTGATCATACACCAATCTTCAATATAACCCTCAAATTTTGAAGACTTTTCCCAGAAATGCTACAATATGTTTAATTTAATTCATTATTTAATTTTCAATTGTTTCCATTTTTCACTGATCCTGAAAAATATCACCCTTGAAGTGAAACAGATATTATGTTGCTTGATATTTTGGTCTTTAAATCTTTTTTTTTATGCAAGTCACCTTTCAGAAGTTTCTGTCATAGTGAAATAAATTATCAGTAAAAGTTTGGTATTTTCTTTATGACTTAATAGCTGAACATCCATTTCATTTCATTTCTACATAAATATGATTTATAATTAATCATTGAACATGAATATCGTGTACAATGACATACTAGCCAAGTTTCCTTATTTGGGCAGAAACTCGCTAATTTGTACATTGCATCAAATCGGGGTCATTGTAAGTGACTTTTAGACATTTTTGAATTCCTTCCAAATGAAAAATTGAAACTTTGGCAAGAATGTCAGTAAACAAAAGGATTTTATAGTTTTATCTTTTTGTTTTCTATCAAATATTGTATTTGTTTGCTAGTTTAGAAATGAATCAAAGGTGTACAATTTCATACTTAGACAGTAAACCAATTTTGAAATATTCAACTAACCGAACCTAAATTAAAAAAATATATCGCTAGCAGTGACAAAAAAATGTATGGCATTTGTCATGGTTAGGCCAGTGGAATTGTACAACCTGTGATTTACCCCACTACGTCGCACCAGATCATTGACTGTGAGGTTTGTAGATTATGGTACCAGTAGATCTCTGTGTGGTAAATATAGATCTATCCCTGTGTGTGACCCCCACTAGATACAATGCTGTCAGATAAACCACAGACTTATTGTTAAATGTGACAGACATATATATACAAAATTTGGTGTTAAATTTGGTTTCATCAAATTAAATTTGCTGACAAGAGACAGAATGTATGATTATAACTGTCTTCTTGAGGTTCCATTCATGTCTGCCAAGTGCAATAAATGTATTTTTTATAAAACAAAAAAATAAGTAAATGTATCTACTTGAAAAGATTTGAGGACCCTGTGGTTTAAACCATAAGTGTTTTTTACTACCCACCCAAACCTTTCCCAAAGTAACCATTTGCTTTTGTACCTTCAACTTTCGTTTTTTTATTTAATATGCCTTTGAAATATTTCAATCACATGTTCATTTGGTACTTAAATATAAAATTTAAAACTCTGTTTTAAGGAAGATGATATGTGATGTAATAATTGAAAGTCATTATTAAATTGACAGTGAAACTATGGAAGTACAAAAGCAGTTTTGAGACAAATTGACAAGTAATTTTGAGACAATGGAGTCTAGTTTCTGTCCACCCTGTCACTTCAATGTTGTAGCCTGTACGATCACTGATCTGGTACAGTGGGGTGGCAGCATGTCACATTTGTATACATCAAAGATGCATGTCCTTCGCTGGGATGACACAGTCATGCTGTTGAGAGAGAGGAAGGTTTAAGGAGTGTGGCAGAAGGCATGTTGTCACTGTTTTAGTATGTCAGCTGCATGTTCTGTGCTGGTTTNACACAGTAATACTATCTGGATGGAGGTGGGTAGGGGTGGAGGGGCTTAGGAGGATAAGAGTGGGAGGATGGAGGTGGGTAGGGGTGGAGTGGAGGATTTAAGGAGGATAGGAGTGGGAGGATGGAGGTGGGTAGAGGTGGAGTGGAGGATCTAAAGAGGATAGGAGTGGGAGGATGGAGGTGGATAGAGGTGGAGTGGAGGATCTAAGGAGGATAGGAGTGGGAGGGTGGAGGTGGGGAGAGGTGGAGTGGAGGATCTAAGGAGGATAGGAGTGGGAGAATGGAGGTGGATAGAGGTGGAGTGGAGGATCTAAGGAGGATATGAGTGGGAGGATGGAGGTGGGTAGAGGTGGAGGGGAGGATCTAAGGAGGATAGGAGTGGGAGGATGGAGGTGGGTAGAGGTGGAGGATCTTAGGAGGATAGGAATGGAGGTGGGTAGAGGTGGGGTGGAGGGGCTTAGGAGGATAGGAGTGGGAGGGTGGAGGTGGGGAGGGCTGGAGTGGAGGATCTAAGGCGGATAGGAGTGGGAGAATGGAGGTGGATAGAGGTGGAGTGGAGGATCTAAGGAGGATATGAGTGGGAGGATGGAGGTGGGTAGAGGTGGAGGATCTTAGGAGGATAGGAATGGAGGTGGATAGGGGTGGGGTGGAGGGGCTTAGGAGGATAGGAGTTGAAGGGTGTGCTTGTCACTGGTATATGTCATAGCTGCCCTTTGCTGGGCTGACTTTGTGGTATTGACAGGAGGGGAGGTACGGGAGGGTGGGGTAGGGTGGAGGGTAATGTTGTTTTAGTTTTGTATGTCAGTTTGACTAAGTAATTCTGTCTGGAGGAGTAGAGGTCGGAACATTGTCTTTTTTTTGTATGTCACAGCTGCATGTTCTAAGCTGACAATTGCATGAAAATGTGTGCTTTATCTGTTGTAAAACTGCATGTTGTTTTCTCATACTGTACTTTTAATAAATTTAATTATAAATTCCGAGTTTTTAATTCGTCAAATCCTACAACATTTTAAATGTGTTATGAAAATATAGAATGTGTATTGTAATATTGTCAGACTTCAAAGTCTAGTAACGTAAACGTGATACGACCAGGGTTTTACTACTTCTGTGGTTGTCTGTACAATGATGATTGTTTTAAATTGACCCAATATCTTGAGCTTAAACTGTTAAAACTTCATGAACATATATATCCCAAATAAATACAATGAGATGTTCACATGACCTTAGTGACGTAAGTCCCCAGAGAAACTCTGTTCCTGTACATTCATTACCCTTACTAATGGACAGAATTAGGTTAAAATGTGTTAAAAGTTAACCCGACGCCCCAGATCTCTGTCGAGGGATTATTACACTGAACGCGTTCACTACATATACAACAGGAACTATCGTCAGTTATATAGGTACTAGTAGAATACCTTTGAACCTTTGAGTTCATAGAGTACTTTTCCAGAGACCATAATTGATATTATACGGGGTCATTATAAGGATGTAAGTTGGAATTGGCAACTCAGGAGGATCTGGTTTGATGTGAAATGTTTTAAATGATCTATGATGTATTGAATCGGTAAAACTTCTGATGCTCGTTGCATGTTATCAATCACTTTTCACACGTATACTCCTCACTACGTAGTGCTACGTCAGGTCTGTACAACTACAACCTGTCATACATGTAAACTTTTTATCGAAATGTTGTCTAGATTGCTGTCCTTTTTAACTGTAAATTATAATTTACATTCCTTTTAGAAAAAATACCTACTAGTCATATTCTAGCAAAGGGTTTTAATGTAAAATATATAAGGGTCAAGCTAACTTTTCTGCTCATTACATTCAAAGGTAAAAAAAATGAGGATAAAAAGGTTTTCCTTTTAATTCTTTGAATTAAATATGTGAGTTGGAACATTTTTTTTTATGAAGATAACAGATATATATGAATAAGGCTTTAAACATCATACAACACAACTTTGCTTATAAATCATTTCTTTTGTTCGTTAGAAGCAACAGGTGGAGAACCAACATCGGAACCACCTCTGGTAGAGAATAAGGCTCCGGAGCAGGAAGCGGAAAAGGCTCCGGAGCAGGAAGCGGAAAAGGCTCCTGAACAGGAAGCGGAAAAGGCTCCAGAACAGGAAGCGGGAAAGGCTCCGGAACAAGAAGCAGAAAAGGCTCCGGATCAGGAAGCGGAAAAGGCTCCGGAGCAGGAAGCGGAAAAGGCTCCAGAACAGGAAGCGGCAAAGGCTCCGGAACAAGAAGCAGAAAAAGCTCCAGAACAGGCAGAAGAGAAACCAACAACAGAAGAAAAACCGCAAGAACAAGCAGAAACAACCCCTGGACAAACAGAGGAGTCGCCTAAAACAGGAGAGGAAGCACCAAAACAAACAACAGAAGAAAAGGTTGAGGAAAATGTTAAAGTAGCTGAAAAGACAGAAGGAGAAGAAGGAACAGAAAAGACCCCAGGTGAGACTGAAAAGGCACCAGAAGGTGACAAGCTATCAGAGGGAGAAACTGCTCCTGAACAAGTGCAGGAAGGAGAAAAGGCCCCAGAACAGGCACAACAAGGAGAAAAGGCCCCTGAACCGGCACAAGAAGGAGAAAAGCCCTCTGAGCAGGCAAAGGAAGGAGAAAAGGCCCCTGAACAAGCACAGGAAGGAGAAAAGGCCCCTGAACAAGGACAAGAAAGTGAAAAGGCCCCTGAACAATCACAGGAAGGTGAAAAGGTCCCTGAACAAGCTCAAGAAGGTGAAAAGGCCCCTGAACAAGCACAGGAAGGAGAAAAGGCCCCTGAACAAGCACAGGAAGGAGAAAAAGCTCCAGAACAAGCACAGGAAGGAGAAAAAGCTCCAGAAGATGGTAGTGGTGACAAACCTGTTGAGGGGGAGAAGGCTCCTGAACAAACACAGGATGCTGAACAGCAAGAGTCAGTTGTGATGGACAAACCAGGCGATGAAACTAACAATGCTGCTGAGAGTGAGGGCAAAGGTAAGTCACCAATGTTTATATCTGTTGTGAGGAACTCTTTAAACAATAGCATCATCAGATATTATCTAGCATTACTTTAGCGGCATATTTTAGATCAAATTCCTTAGATGTTACTCTATATTCCCCATTTCATATAATAACAATCATTTTATCATATACTCGTGAATGATATGTCTTGTTTTGTATGTGTAACAAAACTAGTTGTGTATAGGCAATATCCCGGCACACACCATATCTGTCTAACTTTTTGTTCAACATTCTTCAGAATAATCACACCTCACTGTTAGTGTACACACTGGATACTCCTCTGAATTTGTTATTCTGTTCGTTATGATTTATTTAAGGTAGAATGAGGTTATAGTCATACTTTCTATCTGTTTTATTTGCTATTGCTAACAATTTTGATGTCATAAGCAGTATATGATAAAAATGTTACCACATGATGATGGTCATATGATAACCTAGAATTAAGAATGATTACAATTTTTTTAATTTCTCACAAGTTTTAAAATGAATACCTACCCATACTTTATTTAACTGGCATTTTACAGGCAGACGTTATTGCAAACTCTTTCATTTTCCTTTATAAAAGTTTCTATGTTGGTGTTACAGAGGAAGCGCAGGTAGAGGTGAACGAAGAAGCAGCAGAGGAGAACAAAGAGACAGAAGAAAAGGAGAAAGGCATCCCTGCTGACTTCTTCTACGACCTTGACAAAATGACATCTAAGCCTGTGATGACAGAAGATTGCGGGCTCCCAGAGGACATGTTGTCACTCCAGTATCCTTACTTACTCGCTCTGTCACTCCCTCATGTGGTGACTCGCACAGCTTAGTAGGAAAACGTGTCTTCATTTTGATGTACAGTGTCAGGGCTCAGGTTATGATAATACCATTACCATGCTCAAACTTGGGAGAGGGGCTAGTAAGTTGTAAGAACTTGCACCCGATCCCTTTGACTGTTTAATGTCAATAAAATATGTTTTAATGAACAAATGCTCAAACTTGGCCAAAGCTCGATTTCTTGTTCCGGCCATGAATGAACAAAAATTAAAATTTACGTTTTGTCAAACATTTGGAAGCAATTTGGAGGGACTGAAAGCGGAAATACTGTTTTTAAACTTAACACATGACTTTTTGACCATATCACATGATTTAAGCAAATTACCAAAAAGTTGGTTTGAACAAAGAATCCATTCTTAAGCCTGAGTATGGTTTCATGAATATGGACACAGTCTGTTCCAATCATGTTGTACTGTATAACACGAAATGTTCATTGTAATAATAACAATATATACAACACTTATATAGCGCCCCTATATAATTTGTAGAATTACTCTAAAGCGCTTTACAACATATGGATAATAGTATTAGTTATAATTGTTAAACAAAAAAGGCTTACAATCACCATTATACATTAAGCAAGTAGATAATCATCTCAAAGTGCACATAAATGAATAAATAAAGGGTGGTATGTACATGAATAAATAAAGGGTGGTATGTACATGATGTCTGTGCAAAGAGCCTAAAATGCAGACGTGAAGAGGTGAGGTTTAATGTCCTTCTTGAATTTGGCCAATTGTGTATAAATATTCGTGGTTTTCACGGTCGCTATTGAATCACAAAAATATATACAATGTACAATGAATTTAATTTATATACTTGAATACTGTTCGTTAATTCAGCATACCCATGAATGTTTGCTACAAAACAATCGAAATAGCTTCAAACCACAAAAGAAATTACCCGTGAACATTTCATGTATTAGATATATAGGATTATCCAGGCTAGAATTTCCTGTGTCATCTATGTTATTAGTTAAGTTTCCTTGACTGGACCCCCAGATATTCTTTTGGCTACGACTGTACAAAGAGGGCCAATCTCCACTTACTTGATGAGAAAACGGTGATATTTGCTGCCGGAAACCTTGTTCAGCTGGTAGACCTGCAGACTCGCGAACACAAATATCTGCGAAGTACAAGTGGAGGGGGAATAGGTGCCCTCACGGTCAGTACAATGATTTAATTTACTGAATTACATATGGTACGCTATATATATTTGCAAAAATGGATTTAAGTATTCACATCATATAAAATGAATTTCATCAAAATGTTCAAATTATTTACCAACGCTTTTTATATGTGAATGTATTGCATCACCAAATAACAATATTTTTTGGTGAAAAAAAATCACTTATTTTTCCTCAAAATCGATTTTCCTATATCTACCTGGTAATTGAAAATATATGAGTATATATCAAAGTAGAACTGAAATATTTTTACTAACATTTCTCCAAAATTAGTTTTCCTATTTGAATGTGTATGTGTATCTTTAAAAGTAAGACAGGAAGATTCACTGCTGTTACTTTCTGGTATTGCAGGTCCACCCGAGCAAGAAGTTCTTTGCAGTGGCTGAGAAAGGACAGTCCCCGAACATCAACATATTTGAGTACCCATCCCTCAAGTTACACCGCATCCTGAGGGGAGGAACAGAAAAATCCTACTCCTACGTCGACTTCAGGTCAGTCGGGGGAAATAGTATACAGTATTTCATAGATTTATAAATTCATTATAAGTTATAATTAATGTTTAAAGTGAAAATTGTTAAAATCACACATTTAAATTCATTAGTTCAGTTATTATAAAATACCCAGATAGCATAATCACTGGAGAGTAGTCTGGACTAATAGTAGCTGGAACTAAGAACTAAGCTTGTCTTTTATATTTTAGCTCTGACGGTGAGCTGCTAGCCTCTCAGGGAGGTAACCCCGACTTCATGTTGACCGTTTGGCGGTGGCGAGAGGAGATGACCGTCCTTCGGTCAAAGGCTTTCTCTCAGGACGTCTTCCGCGCAACCTTCTCCACAGAGCTGGAAGGTCAACTGACCACTGCCGGAACAACCCATATAAGGTAAGTAGGTCATCAGACCAAGACGGGATGAAATATCTTAATTTTGATAAATCATCACAGTTATCATTATGATATCTGGTCATCGTCAGTCTGTGACAAAAGTCATTTTTATTTTTGAGTCTAATGAGATGAGTGTTCACTTTCTTTTTTCCTTTCGAGATAAGACAACATAATCAGACTGTAAAAGATGTGGATTACTTAGGTTGCCTTACAAGTGTGAGCTGTAGGGAATTTCCCTTTTAGCTCAGAGGTAGAGCATCGAGCTAGAGAGCCAAGGGTCACAGGTTCGAGCCTCAGTGACGGCACTATCTTTATCACTATTCCTCGTCCTACTACAAGCCCATGAAAATCAGATTACTTGAGTTTATATATCACACAATGCATCAATAAACAAAATAAATCTGTTTATCATATCTGTACGGCCTATGGTTCTCTCTGACTCTCTACATGACTCCTAGCAGGAGTATTTAAGCAGTTACCTACAGATCCAGCAGGGTGCTAGGAGTATTCTGAGCTGTGCTCACTTTCTCTATAGTCTTTCTGGATAGTATAAAATCAAACTAAAAATTGTATTTTTGTATTCTTGATTATTTTTTTAATTTTCAGGTTTTGGAAAATGGCCGACACCTTCACTGGTTTGAAACTTCAGGGAGCTCTTGGTAAATTTGGCAAGACAGAAATCTCCGATGTGGAGGGATATGTGGAGCTTCCGGACGGAAAAGTACTTTCTGGATGTGAATGGGGGAACATGTTGCTGTGGGAAGGAGGTCTCATCAAGGTGGAGATTTCCTGTAAAGGGAGGAAACCCTGTCACGTCGGCAACATCATGCAGATCCTGCTGGACGAGGGAGAACTGATGACTGTGGGAGAGGATGGTTTTATCAAGGTTGTTACAGTGAAAGTGATAGGATGATAAAGACAAACAAGTTCTATATATCTAGATAATGTATCGCGTCACAGATGTAACAATGTTTTTCATTTGTCAGCAGTTATGGGCTATTGAACAGTAAACCATGTAAATATCCCAGTACGTAATACATGCAATGTCAAAATCTGCCCCTGTATAACTAAACATACCTGTCTTTATAAACGAAGACAGCCTTCGTGTTTGAGTAAAACACCATACATCTACTGTCTGCTTACATGATTAGCAACGACACTTGTTAAGGTGTAGCCACGTTTGAATATTGGATTCACAACAACCTTAGGTTGTAAACTAGCAATCAATCAGAAATCAGTCCACCGCACAAACAGTTTAAACCACTAGTATGTCATTCACTGTTCATCAACTCTTTTACATATAATCAAGTCTTTCCGTTCATAAATAAAACGGGAAGTTGTGTCATATTTAGAATGCAGGTAAAAAAGTGAGATTGTTAATTATTAGTTTGACTCAATGGAATGGAGCCATTGGATGGGAAAGTAAATTTAAGTTTAAATAACCAGAGAGTGGAAATTTAGATGGAGATTTAGTTATCGTTTTTGTTTAAATTACCATGATTTAAAAGAGATTACGCCTAGATAGTTAAGTTTTTGCCTTTGTCTGTAGGTGTGGGACTTTGAGAGTGTTGACACGGCCGACACAACAGATGACACAGGGATGTTTGAGATGGAGCCGATGAATGAGCTCCGCGTCGGTGAGGGTGTCAAATTACAGTCCATCTGTAAATCGTTTGATGCTGAGACAGAGATGACCTTCTGGTTCGCACAGGTAGGTTCACAGGTCATCCAGACTTAGCTAACATTTAGAAAAATGAGCCACCAGTTAAATTTAATACAAAAAGTTACCTGTGTTGAGGTACAGAGTCTGGAGTCCATACCTCAGGGTTCCTTGTCACCCTTGGTTTGGTGCTGTTCGTCTGTACTGATAGGGATAGTCATAGTCTTGTGTCGGTGCTAAATTGTTTTTACCACCGAATTGTAACACAATTAAACAGGTCTTCAGTTATGTAACAGTCTGAGACAGAACACACACATTTCCATTATTACTATTAACAAAATTGATTTCCATGTACATAGCAGGATTTAATGACAATAATTTAATATCCAGATTCAAAAGAATAATTTATAATAACCTTACGTGAGTGTGTGTCACATATTTTTACTATAGAGATAGCTATATTGATTAATCTTCCAACACAAACACCCTAGGTCTGACCAATCCATGCTTGTCGAGAATGGTTGACGTCATGATTTCTTTGATATTGCCAATTCTTCACAAATTAATGTATTGTAGAGAATTTCATTATATTATACATATATATATAGATGTATTTGGACAATATAGAATTTACTATCATATGATGATAGGTTTATTTTGGATGTGGACAGAGCTCTGGGCTTGTCTGTTTGAGTGGTGCTCGTCCAAAACCACCGTAGCAAAGTATTGTGAAACATTAGCACATTTCCTAATTCATCAAATCATTCAGCCTAGGTAAAATGTCTAGCGTAAGTTCTGCCATGTTCCGTTCTAGGATGCTAACGGTGGTATATGGAAGCTGGACCTGTCCTTCTCTCATACCTCCCTGGCCCCGGAGAAGATGTTTACCTATCACGCCGGCGCCATTCTCGGATGTGATACGTCACCGATCAGTCACATTGTGGCCACCACAGGCCATGACCGTAAGTCTCTGCTCAAACCACGATTAATTTTAAACAAATGTCGACACCAAATATTTGTCATTTGAGTAAGTGTTCGCTCCAGTCATTTGAAAATTAGGACCTAATCATTATCTATTGTGGCCCACAACAAAATGTGTCTCTTTAATTTGATTTTTTGATAATGTACTGATTAACGCTACAGCAAGGTGATGAGTTTTTGAGTTATTCATCTACCTGGCAATAAACTCAGGCCTTGTAATAAGCCCACCCATATCTAATGCAGTGTTGTAGAGATATACAGGACCTTATCATTATCTATTGTGGCTCACAACAACCTGTGTCTCCTTAATTGTGATTTATAGCTAATGGACTGGTAACCATTATAGCAAGGTCATGAGTTTTTGAGTCATTCCTACTATATCTACCTGGCAATAAGGCCATGTCTGATAATAAGCCCACCCATATATATATATATATATATTGCAATTTTGTAGAGATATCAACAAATGTTCATTTTTCCGTCATCAGCCCCTCCCCTTTCATTGAGTCAGTGATGATGTGCTGGTCCCCGGGGCTTCTTTTAAGATAACTACAGTAATGCCATAGATATTATTTACTCATTCACCCCTGAAGACACATTTGAATTCTTTCAATTCAAAGTTTGGAATAGTTCATTAAGAAATTTCAGGGGTGAATGAATCAAACTAACACAAAAGAAATTAATAAATGAAAGATTGTCTTTGCCAGTATGAGTTGTGTGAGATGGCAGATCACATGATCACAATCATACGTATCTGTAGGTTTGATTTTATTTTCAATGTCTCTATATAGTTATGTGTTACAGAAATGTGTTATACACTCAGCTAATTGTTCCTCTGGTTACAGACACTGTCCGGGTATTTGACTACCTACAGAGGAAACAACTGTGTGAGACCAAGTTCTCTGCTGGAGGATCTGCCCTACTTTGGGCCCCAGAAGTGGTGAGTGTTTTGTTCGTGTTGTCAGTGACTAATGTCAGTCTGACTGACAGTTGATAACTATAACAGGGTCATACAATAAATAGTTTTACTTAATCCCCAGATCCCAAAAACTTTTTCGTTTCAAGAACATTCTCAATTCAAAATATCAGATTTTTCTGGGGCTAACTTGCCTCATACATTAGTTAAAACTGAAACAAAAGGAATTTATTCAATGAAATCATCCATTTGTATGAAACATTGGATGCATCACAGAAAAAAATTGAGAGGAAAAGTTAAACTTCAGAATATTTCAGTAGGCAAGGTTTTAGTGTCACTGTTACTGTTATTATGATACATATAGTGAAAACATTCTTATATGACCTGCAGCAATCAGGAAATTTTTCTTTGTCATTTACTCAATCACCCCTACATATTTAAAATGGACTTGCCTAGTCATTTATTTGGTTAGGTTCAAATGTGACTTTAGGGGTGAATGGGTTAATATTTTTTATGATATATATTTATAACATTTATTAGTGATATGTTTTATACACAAGTAACCTGTGACATGATCATTGCAGGTCGACCCAAAAGGAGCTACAATTCTGGTCGGGTTTAGTGACGGTGTGGTGAGGGTGTTCAACATCAGCCAGCTAACTGATGAACTGACGAGGAAACACAAGAACGACTGTGATCTGGTCCTACAACAGGCGTTCAAACCTCACTCGTCGTCCGTCAACAGCTTGGCCGTAAACAAGTCTGGCGACATCCTTGCCACTGCGGTAAGTTGCGAAATTAGTATCTCGAGAGAATTCTTTTTTAGAAATACAATAAAGCTGTCATTTAATACGATTTAATAGGATATTAGATAATTAGCAGACACAGGCATTGCTGCCTCTATATCCACATCCATATAATTTGAAATTATACATTGTGATCAACATAAAATAAGTCTATATATAAGACGATGTAAGATCGTACTTCAACTCAAGATCTTTCTAGATTTCATCCAAAGTTTTTCTTAAAATCAAATACTTCACAAGATGAAATAACATCTTGTGAAAGACTATTTCAGATATCAATGGCTTCCTATTGGCTGAAACCCTTCTAGCAATTGTTCTGCTGGTCTGATTGTATTTATTCCTGTTGATGAATGGTACTTTTCAGATGTTTTAGAAATGCCTTACTATCTATATTAAAAATCCTAAATGATTGCTGGGGCTTCAGCCTGGTATGTAGTTATGGGGATTATGTGACCTGTCAGTGGTTTTGTTTCTGTTAGGATGTTATATAAATCTATCTCCTGTCTTTACAGGGTGAGGATGGTACAATTTTCTTCCTGACGGTGGGAACAACCTACAACCCTATTGGTTTTGTCACTATGCCTGCTGCTGTCAAAAAGATCCAGTGGTCTCCAGAAACTAAGGTACGTCCAGTCAAGTAGCCTTCGAGCTGTTCGCAATCCTTGTTAAATAAATAAAGATTTATAGACCCGAGACTGAGGTACCCTCTGTCACAGATCTTAGACTGTTGCCTACAAAGTCTCCAGAAACTAAGGTACCTCCAGTCAAGTAGCCTTCGAGCTGTTCGCAATCCTTGTTAAATAAATAAAGATTTATAGACCTGAGACTAAGGTACCCTCTGTCACAGAACTTAGGCTGACACCTACAGTCTCCAGAAACTAAGGTACCTCCAGTCAAGTAGCCTTCAAACTGTTCGCAATTCTTGTTAAATAAATAAAGATTTATAGACCCGAGACTGAGGTACCCTCTGTCACAGATCTTAGACTGACACCTACAAAGTCTCCAGAAACTAAGGTACCTCCAGTCATAGATTAGAAAGAGAACAAATTGTATCTTCAGAATAACAGAATCCTCAGTAAATATATAAAGTTTTGTTTTATAGACCAGAAACTGGGGTACGCTCTGTCATAGATTGGAGGCTAAGTCTACGAAGTCTCAAGACAAGAAATTTATGTTTAAATATAGCAGACCTTTACTGACATTATGTTGAACTAGTAATAGAAAGGTTGTTGAGTAACGCTATTTATACATATAAACTACTACTACAACCCCGGATTTTAAAGTTTGCTGAAACTATATAACATTTATAGATCAATTCTACTGTAAACCTAATATTATTACGAACAAGGATCTGGGCCTGTATTTATGAAACCGTTTTCTTGTTCAAAGCCTGAGACCCAGATTCTATGCTCAAGCCTAATTTCTTGTGTGCTAGTGATATGTTAACAAAAAAATAAATAATTTCGTCAATCTTATGTAGGAAATTTGGAAAGACTTTAAGCCGAATACTGTTTTTAATGTTTACACATGAATTTTTGACCATATCACATTATTTAGGTGTGTCAAAAGAAAGTTGGCTTGAGCAAAGAATTCATGCTTAAGGATGAGAACAGTTTCATGAATATGGGCCCATGTTTTCACTATTTTGTGGTTCTACTTTCACTGTGAAAAGTCTTTTCCTTGAGTATCCAGATATTTTGAATGCTGAAAATATTTGACTCTTTAATGCAGATTTGTCTGTAGCTTTTTAATGTTTTGCTACTTCCTGTGTTGAGTTTTACTAATGTTTATAAATATTTGGTTAGAACTTATCTATCAAGTCCAACCTTTGAAGCTGTTTTCTGTACCACAGAGCGTAAAGAAGGAGACACTACTGGTGTTCTGTGACAAAGGAATCGTCGTCGAGATTGACAGTCCAGGGGACAGCAACTTCGACACGTCGCATACATTCAAAATAACTGGACTTCCGACCCGCCAGTTCACCTTCAAGAGTGTCAAGTCCGCACTCAGGGTAGGTTGTTTTACTAGCGTACTGGTGGGGTAGAGATTTTACTGTTTTAGTCATGGTGTAAAATAGAAATCCTTTAACCCATTCACCCATAAAGACACATTTGAACCTTACCAAATGAAAGACTGAGCAAGTCCAATTTAAATATGTCAGGGTAAATGAGTTTAAATACCACTCTGTTGATTAGTTCACTTTATATATACAAGGAATAATTCAGAAAAGATAACTCAAAATATATATTTATAATATTTCTGTTGAAATAAAACCCTACAGTTCATAAAAAAATTTGAGAAAAAATGAAGATAAAAGAGAAATGTATATTCAAAGCTCTAAGAAATACATGTGTCATTAGAAATTACTTTCTACTTATAAAGTCACAGTTATAATAAACATTTTTCTAAAACCTTGAAATGTTCTCGTTGCAATTTCAAGTCAAATTATTTATGTTATCTCAGCATGAGGAAGACATGGAAAGGAAGAAAAAGGAGGAAGAAGAGAGAAAGAAGAAAGAAGCCGAAGAAAGGAGAAAGCGAATAGAGAGAGGATTGGAGACAGAGTCAGAGCAAGGAGATGAAGAAGGTTAGTAGTATGTAATGTTCTAAAAGGGACATATATTTTACAATTCTATATAAAAAGATTATTGCTTTTTTTAAATGCTGGTAAAAACTGCATAGATGGTAAAAATAAAGTATAAAACTGTTGAGAAATTTGAATTGATTTTTTTCTTGACAATTTATATAAAATGATCCAGAAACTAAAGTCTGAGTTTTGATTTTATTAGAAGAAAAGAAGGAGTCGGAAGAGGACTGGACGCCCTACATCCCATCGGAGCCGAGCCCCATCCTCGAGGGTTTCTATACAGAGGACGGAAACTTCTGGCTCTCTATGGTACAACACTTTTATTACTTTTCAGACTTATTTGACATAGATTATTTAGGTAGAGGGAACATTAGATATAGTTCTTTTATGATGTGGCTAACTGGTTTTATGTCATGTGGCATTACTTTTATATGACAAAGTACCTTTTACTTTGTGTAAAATCCAAATCCTTGGACAGATTCTTGATCATTCATTACAAACATCCCTTGAAATGTGCATCTCTTTTTTGTATTTAAAGATTCATCTTGCCTTGAAAAGTAAGATTGTATGATCATCTTCCTGATATGCCTAACCCTTTCACCCCTGTAGACCATAATGGACTTATCCAGATAAATGCATGGTAGAGTTTATTAGAGTTACATAGGGGTGAAAGGATTAATAGATCACTGAGTCGAGGATAAACTGGTCCTGTACTTATATCATAAGTTCTATCAAAACCAATGAAGCCATTTATTGTTGATTTTCTGGGTCTGATAAGAGTTATATTGTTTGTAAGTAGGTAATCACTAAAGGTAAATATCACTAATTGATCTGTGTATGTTTACAGGGAGACTTTGATTCTGGTTACCTGTACCAGTGTAAGTTTTTGAGCCCTGATGAGAAGGCTGGCCTGCCGGAGGAACTGGTCGACCAGCCCATAAAGTCAGTCCCAGTTGTGGACTCCGAGGACGTACCCATTAACATCATCAAGTTCAGGTAGGGTACTTCCATAAACATTATCAAGTTCAGGTAGGGGACTTAAATAAACATCATCAAGTTCAGGTAGCGTACTTACATAAACATTATCAAGTTCAGGTAGGGGACTTAAATAAACATCATCAAGTTCAGGTAGGGAACTTACATAGACATAATCAAGTTCAGGTAGGGTACTTTCTTAAACATCATCAAGTTCAGGTAGGGGACTTACATAAACATTATCAAGTTCAGGTAGGGGACTTAAATAAACATCATCAAGTTCAGGAAGGGTACTTACATAAACATCATCAAGTTCAGGTAGGGTACTTTCTTAAACAACATCAAGTTCAGGTAGGGAACTTACATAAACATAATCAAGTTCAGGTAGGGTACTTACATAAACATTATCAAGTTCAGGTAGGGTACTTACATAAACATAATCAAGTTCAGGTAGGGTACTTACATAAACATTATCAAGTTCAGGTAGGGTACTTAAAAACATCATCAAGTTCAGGTAGGGTACTTAAATAAACATCATCAAGTTCAGGTAGGGTACTTACATAAATATCATCAAGTTCAGGTAGGGTACTTACATAAACACCATCAAGTTCAGGTAGGGTACTTACATAAACATCATCAAGTTCAGTTAGGGTACTTACATTAACATCATCAAGTTCAGGTAGGGTACTTACATTAACATCATCAAGTTCGGGTAGGGTACTTACATAAACATCATCAAGTTCAGGTAGGGCACTTACATAAACATCATCAAGTTCAGGTAGGTGACTTACATAAACATCATCAAGTTCAGGAAGGGTACTTACATAAACATCATCAAGTTCAGGTAGGGAACTTACATAAACATAATCAAGTTCAGGTAGGGTACTTACATTAACATCATCAAGTTCGGGTAGGGTACTTACATAAACATCATCAAGTTCAGGTAGGTGACTCACATAAACATCATCAAGTTCAGGTAGGTGACTTACATAAACATCATCAAGTTCAGTTAGGGTACTTACATTAACATCATCAAGTTCAGGTAGGGAACTTACATAAACATAATCAAGTTCAGGTAGGGTACTTACATAAACATAATCAAGTTCAGGTAGGGTACTTACATTAACAAATTAACATCATCAAGTTCAGGTAGGGTACTTACAAAAATATCATCAAGTTCAGGTAGGGTACTTACATAAACACCATCAAGTTCAGGTAGGTGACTTACATAAACATCATCAAGTTCAGGTAGGTGACTCACATAAACATCATCAAGTTCAGGTAGGTGACTCACATAAACATCATCAAGTTCAGGTAGGTGACTCACATAAACATCATCAAGTTCAGGTAGGTGACTCACATAAACATCATCAAGTTCAGGTAGGTGACTTACATAAACATCATCAAGTTCAGCTAGGGTACTTACATAAACATCATCAAGTTCAGGTAGGTGACTTACATAAACATCATCAAGTTCAGCTAGGGTACTTACATAAACATCATCAAGTTCAGGTAGGTGACTTACATAAACATCATCAAGTTCAGTTAGGGTACTTACATAAACATCATCAAGTTCAGGTAGGGGACTTACATAAACATCATCAAGTTCAGGTAGGGTACTTACATAAACATCAAGTTCGATAGGGTACTTACATTAACATCATCAAGTTCGTGTAGGGTACTTACATAAACAACATCAAGTTCAGGTAGGGTACTTACATTAACATCATCAAGTTCGGGTAGGGTACTTACATAAACATCATCAAGTTCAGTTAGGGTACTTACATTAACATCATCAAGTTCAGGTAGGGTACTTACATAAATAAACATATATGTTTGGTTCACCAAGCGTGAACATTTTTATGGACATTGATTGATTGATTGATTAATTGATAGGTTTTACATCCGCTTCACTACCGAGTAGTTTAGTTATCCAGCAGACTTTATGGACATAAAGTGTTATCTTTCAATAGAACAAGTCTAGTGTCAGCTTGGTTACTATAGAAACCATGATGAAACTTGTCTTAACACCAAGTTAAGGTCAAAGGTCAAATGATTTTCCTGTCACAGATATATAGCTTCCTCATTACTGTAGAGCCCACAATGACCGATAGATTATCAGTGAAATGATTTAATTAATGATGACTAAATTAGTTTTTCCACCAGCCATTAAATATGATGATATTCTAGAAAAAAACACATTCTCCTGTGTTTATCTGTGAAATGGTAAAATTTTGTTCTGTCAGTATATTAATGAAATTATCAATGCTATCTTCATATCTTGTTGCAACTTGAATATTTTATGAAATTTTTAAATTGTGTTAAGAAATTAACTTGAAAAAGAAAGTGAAAGCATTTATACCACAATGATATCAGCTTCCATTGATTAGGATAAAATGTGTTATTTGCTGTTGTTTCAGTTCTAACGGTCGTCAAGTGTTGATGGGTATGAGTGACGGGGCGGTGAGGATCTACAACCTGGAGACGCCGTACGACATGTCAACCATGGGGCCGTTCTGGACGCTGACCATGCACGACAACAACTACGGACACGTGACGGGGCTGAAGAGTAGCTACGACAACACCATGCTGCTGACCGTGGGCGGGGATAGTAACTTCTTCCTCTACAACTACATGGGCCAGGAGGAGATCGACCAGAAAACGGCCGAAAATAAGGCCAAGATTCCCTCAGCGAGAGTATGTGTTCTAATCCTAAGTCTATCTTACATTGAATAAATAGCTCAGTTTTAGGGTCAACCAAAGGTTTCATTATCTATTCTCAACTGGGTAGTAATCTGTATGGGTCAGTCGAAAGTAAAATTGGGGAGAAAAACTGTAACCTGCATTAATATAGGAGATGAGTTTCAAATTTATATTAAGTTTTATAAATCACATAGTTCTACTGTCTCCTAAATTGTTGATATTGTGAAACCATTGCTAACAATATGATATCTATCTATATATATACATCCTTAATTCAAAGTTGAATGTTCTTTATATTTTTATCTTCAATGTTTAAAAAAAAGTTCTTTGATTGAAAGAAATAGCATGAAATTCAAAATAAATATTAGATGTATCCCGAGCAATATAAGGTGTGTATTTTCCACAGCACAAGATGTTTATTTCTTAATTTTGTTGATTTACTTGCAGAAACGTGGAGATGAAATTATAGATGATATTGATGACCCCAACGCCTACAGGTACGTCTATATATGTTGGATGTTTGTCCTCGTTGTAGATATTTACATGTTTATGTTTCATCAATACACATGGAACCATACATCAAGTTGTTCTTACTGTTTCAAAGTTATAAAAAGTATACATACAATCTAACAGTGAACACAGAAACACTGGTTATATGATCACAGGCTTCCTTTATCTGGTCGAACAAAATTAAACATATTTATAAAACTGTGGTCAGACCACTGACTCCTGAAACCCTGTGTATTTCAGTATTGAGGATGCCAAACAGAAGTCGGAGCATGATAAGATGATGAAACATGCTGAGGAGAAGAAGAGGGATGTACGACAGAGGATTGCTCACCTCCGGCGACAGTTCAAGACTCTGTTGGAGCAGAATGAGAACCTACCCAACCATCTCCAACTAAAGAAGGACGTGAGTACCTGTTATACTCAGTTTTAAGGCCAGTAACAGATTATACTTAGTTATATTTACATTTGCATGGCATTGTCACTATATAGCCTCTTTGAAAGCTGTGTCATTGATGGGACTTTAATTCCCATGCCGCACGAGACATAATTACCATGCCGCACGAGACACAATTCTTAGCGTATTAATTACAACACTGACCGGAACTACAATATCCAATGTAAATAAACATGACGGCTGCTGAAATATATCGCTGGGCATTGTGAGATTTGATAATGTCATTGTAAATTTATGTGCAAAATAAAAAATAAGATAAAAAACACTTTTATTACAACGAAAACAAGACCAAGGTCTGCAATATCGTACAAAATGCACATCGGTTGAAATCACCAATGCCGGCAATGGAAACAATTTTAACGCTCATGCAATTTATCAGAAATATCGTCTGTTACACTGCACTGATCAACAGGGGTTCGTTACAAATGTCTGAAATACACATATTCTATAGACCTACTGACACATATGTTACAGACCTACTGATATGAGTCACAGCACACATAAACATTCGTCATTTCAGACATTTGTAACGAACCTGTGCTCCGTCGCAAGATCACTCACTTCAAACGCTATCAGTTTCACGCGTCTCGGATCCACGGTTCCTCAGTTTCAGACGACATGTCAAATAACGATGCTGTTATAGAATCTACCGACTGTTGTCGGGTTCCCATACAATCAACAAATACATTCACGCCTGGATTCTTCACAAAATGAGCAAAGAGAAAAGTTCGAATTAACTTCCAAAAATAACTCCCTCGTGGAGGTCAAGGTCCCATTCACGGTGTTCACTGTATTTATCCATGCGCGAAATTTGTTCCGGGGGAAAATCGAAACAATTTCAAATCTAACTTTCAGCTCAGATTTCTATTGAAAAACTGGAATCACCCTATAGACATATCATACGCAATTGTATTGATACTAAATTGTGGAATAAATTTGAAGTGTTTGTTAAAATGTCAAAGTACTACTTTGTTTGCCAATCAGAATGCGACAATACGCTGTTCAAACTATTGAACGAAATTGTGTGGACTGTCGATAAGGCGGGCATTTTTAATTTTAATTATAAATCATAAGTTAAAAAAGAACATAAGAGGCAGAGAAAACGTAAATATAAGTATTGAACTGTTTTTGTATGATATTTATGATCTAAGCTAAGTTTTAAGGCCAGTAACAGAGTATAGCGAAGACAGATGGATACCAAACTATCAAGATAATGCAGGATTTTTTTATGGTCACATTGTCTAAAAGGTTCTACCGCCAAATATGATACAGTTTCTTTAGATTAATTATTGACTGAAGCAAAATCTTTATAACTTATTATTATAATCTCAATCCAATATGTCCATATGTATACCACCAATGGATCGGCTGTAAGCCTGTTGTCCAATCCTATGGCAGTGTAACATTCTTCTTTGTCAATAAAATGTGTTGAAAATAATAATGCAGGATTTGAATAACTGCTACAATACTTGTTGTTTAGGTTTGTGTTGAGATTCTGTATTTACAGTAATGCAACATTTTGCTTAAAAATACTGTCATTGTTTATATAATTACTCAAACATTTTCCAAATATTTCCAGGAATTTGAGATGGACAGAGAAATTAAATATGAACTCCAAAGACAGAAATCGGAGAGGATGGATATTGTGAGGAGAGAAAGAGCCTGGGAGTCGGAGAAACACCGCATAGCTCTGGAAAAACTCCGCAAAAGGTGAGACTTGGAAAAAGAATACATTGTCTTCTAGAAAGAATGATGATGATGGCTGAATAAATTGTTATGTTATTTTATAGCCGCATGGCTCATTGCAAAGACGTCGTGTAAATACCACCCTGTATTTATTCATTTATCTGCACATTGCGATGATTATCTGCTTACTAAATGTATAAAAGTGATTGTAAAGCTTTGTTTTTGTTTCACGATTATAACTAATACTATTATCCATATGTTGTAAAGCGCTTTAGAGTAATTTTACAAATTATATTGGGCGCTATATAAATGTTGTAATTACGATGTTGTATATTATTATATAAGTTTAATACAGCGAGTTTCACTGTATCAAATGCTTCATTTCTATTGTTCATTGTATTTATCTTTCTGTCAAATCAGATCACAGTATTAAAATCGCTCATGAAGATAACTTCCAATGTATACCCTAGTAAAGTTTGTCCGAGTCCAATTTGTGTAGTCTGGTTTATGGAAAGCACAAACATACCTTAACAATTTCAGCTCGGGTCGAATCAGTTGCAGATTTTTTAACAGGAAAAAATAAAGAAGAACATAATTTAAAAAAAAACAATATTTGGAGACAAATTCTTTTAAAATTTATTGTTTTAGATTCTGATTCCAATGAATTCTGTTCTGTTAAATTGATATTTATCACAATAGTCAATGTTCCTCATGTACTGTGACACTCTGTAATATGTGAGGTATGGTTCAGCAGGTTTAAGGTCAATATTCCTTGTGTACTGTGACACTCTGTAACATGTGAGGTATGGTTCGGCAGTTTAAGGTCAATATTCCCTGTGAAATGGGACACTCTGTAACATGTGAGGGGTTAAGGTCAATGTTCCTCATGTACGGTGACACTCTGTAACATGTGAGGTATTGTTCGGCAGGTTTAAGGTCAATGTTCCACATGTACTGTGACACTCTGTAATATGTGAGGTATGGTACAGCAGGTTTAAGGTCAATATTCCCTGTGAAATGGGACACTCTGTAACATGTGAGGGTTTAAGGTCAATGTTCCTCATGTACTGTGACACTCTGTAACATGTGAGGTATGGTTCCACAGGTTTAAGGTCAATATTCCCTGTGTACTGTGACACTCTGTAACATGTGAGGTATTGTTCGACAGGTTTAAGGATGTAGTAGAGTGTGAGAGGATAGTGGTGAAGGCGTTTAACACCAGCCACGAAATAGCAAGCTTCCGCGCGGCCAAACTCTCCGACGACTTCTACACACTGAAGGCGGACTTTGAGCGACGGAGGACACAAACCATGATGAGGGATGACCTCACTCGGGATCCGACCCGTGACCTCATGACAGGTAGGAACCACTCATGGCAAAATCCCAGACATACTGATCAGCAGAATTTTAACTAATCCAGACAGTTAAAGCAGAGTGCTGATCCATCAGAATCTTTTCTAAAATTATACGTAAAGAGTCGCTGTAGATTTGAATTACAACCGCAGGTTATGGAGGCTTACTGAACACTGTTCTCTAATTCGGGATGATTTTCTCAACACATAAAATCTACCACATATAAGTTATTTCTGTAAGTCTCAGATATTGTGTAATTTATTTATAAGTCTGGGTGAAAACGGGAATTCAACTCAGTGGAAATATCCACATGTATAGTAACAATTTAAATGTGAAAAATGTGAAAATTTTTATATCCTGCTTTAACAAAAATGAGAGATATCAGCATTTCTTCATCAGAATAAATAATATAGTTATCAAGTGTAAAGTTTAATATTATAGGGAATTACAATATGAAAGAAACACCTTATACACAAGAAAAATGATGCCGAAAAGCAACTTGTTAATTGAGTTAAGCTTCACAGGTACTAGTTATTACCAGGTGATACTGATGTATGTGTTATTGGTCTGTAGGTCAGACACGCCACACGGACCTGGCTGGTGAAGGAGAAAAGAAGGACGACCAATCAGGGCTCAAAGTCACGACCACCTTGAAGGGCAGCATGGGCGAGCGTATCTCCAAGGCTCTATATAAAGTGGAGGAGAAGAAGAAGAAGCGCGCCGCCAGGAAGGCTCAGGTTGGTCCTGTTAACCTATAATGATAATACTTACAGTGTAGGTCTAGGTTTGAATTGGTGTATTTAAGGATGTGCCTCTATTTGCATAAGGATGAATGTATATTGGAGGCAGTATGTTTGTGTATTTGTGTAGGGCGGATCTGATGCCAACTTTAAGAGTGCTACCTCACTGAAATGCCATGTCGAAGGAACTCAGCATAGAATTCATCTCGGTCACATCATACTGACAACAGGTTACCAGTCATTGTGATTACCCTAAATAGTAAACCTTTAGCATGGCGTAGCAACTACATACTTCTAGAAAGTTGGTATGTCCTGGCCTGGGGACAGAACCTATTGTCTTCATAGTGGGGGTGAACATTTTTGCTGTAAAGCCAAAGGTCAAGGTCAATATTATAACCATTCCATCATATTGTTAGCCAAAGTTATGATTACAGATTTTGTATGGTGAGTGTGATCCTGGTTGTAGTGGTCTGATCTGTACAACACCAAGCCAGATGACGACTACGAGGATCCTGCCGACGTCTCGGCCATTAAGGAGGCCAAGGACAACATGGGTGACTACAAGCTGAAGACTGCGCAGGATTACGTCGTCCCCGACCACCTGAGGATGAACGTGGAGAAGGCACGAGGACGTCTCCTTATCCTCAAGGACATTGTGAGCAGTTACTCAATTTTCAGTACAGTCAACTCTCAGCTATTGGGGAGGTGCTTTCTTTAAGCAAATTCTGGAATAGATAAAGATTGATATTTTTTTTTTTTATAAATCCCATGTTATTGTAGACTGAAAGAAAAACTTTAATAGATGAAGATTTATATTAGTTTGTTTTATAAATCCCATGTTATTGTAAACTGAAAGAAAAACTTAAATAGATAAAGATTTATACTTGTTTGTTCGTTTGTTTTATAAATCCTATGGTATTGGAAAGTGAAAGAAAAACTTTAATAGATAAAGATCTATATTTGTTTGTTAGTTTGTTTTTTAAATACCATGTTATTTGAAACTGAAAGAAAAACTATATTATGATTGGTTAAGTCTGAAATTTTTTTTAAGATTTAGTATAGGTCCTTATACACAAGGTTAAATTTATGTAGATGAGATAAAACTATTGTATAAATTTTGGTGCTTAGGTCCACTTAGAAAGAACAGGTATCAATTTAGCAGGCCTGTCTGAATAGATCTGCACATAGGTTTTGAGCAGTCATGTCTCTCTATATCTGTATGTGTTAACTGATAGAACAACTATATTTGAATATTGCTACTGTCTAAGGTACTCTCATGTTCGGGTATATTCCATTGTACTTTAGGTTAAATTTATTAAGATGAGATAAAATATATGTATATGCCTTGGTGCTTAGGCCCACTTGGACATAGTGAGTGTAAGTTGGACCGGCCCGTCTGAATACGGCTGTACATAGGTTTTGTATCGTGTCTGTCAGTATCTGTATCCTTTTTGACACCAAGTGTATACAATCTCTATCATTAGGCGAAATGTCCCGGGTCGAGTGACGTATGAAATATATAATTTTGTCACATCCTTGTACAGATAAACAATGCCGCACGTTTGATACATACATTGTTTGTTTATGAAGTAAAACTTTGATATGATATCTGTATGTTGAGAATATATTGTGGTGATATTTCAGATCCATGAGCAAAAGTACCACTTCAACCTGCGCCTGCTGAGCCTACGCGACAAGAAGCTCCACGTTATAGAGGAGATTAAAGAGCTGATTGTAAAGTTGGAGGATATCCAGACACACTTACCCCCGGAGAAGTGTAAATCTATTCCTCCAGTCCCTCGTATGTACCCCGTGGAGACACCCGAAAAGTAAGTACCCCATGGAGACACCTGAAAGTAAGTACCCTGTGGAGACACCCGAAAAGTAAGTACCCCGTGGAGACACCTCAGAAAAGTAAGTACCCCATGGAGACACCTGAAAAGTAAGTACCCCGCGGAGACACCTCAGAAAAGTAAGTACCCCGTGGAGACACCTGAAAAGTAAGTACCCGTGGAGACACCTCAGAAAAGTAAGCGTTAGTTCCAACTTAATTTCGTAATCAACAGTTTCAAAATGTGTTGGAGGTCTCACATAGAAGTTGTATGGTGTTTGTAATTAGTTTGGAATGCAATGTCCATTTTGTATAGTAAGTCATATTTAGATGTTATAAAAGCTAATATTTATAAAAGTGGTAAGTACCCCATGGAGACATCTGAAAGTAAGTACCCCGTGGAGACACCTCAGAAAAGTAAGTACCCCGTGGAGACACCTGAAAAGTAAGTACCCGTGGAGACACCTCAGAAAAGTAAGCGTTAGTTCCAACTTAATTTCGTAATCAACAGTTTCAAAATGTGTTGGAGGTCTCACATAGAAGTTGTATGGTGTTTGTAATTAGTTTGGAATGCAATGTCCATTTTGTATAGTAAGTCATATTTAGATGTTATAAAAGCTAATATTTATAAAAGTGTTTGGGGCAACTTTTATCTTGTACCTGATTCATTGAAAGAATGGTTTTTAAACTTTAATTTACATAAAGTATGTAATTTATAAAAGACAACCTTTAAAATTAATTATAAGAATTTTGAAGTGCTACTTTTCTTGTGAATCAGTTTTATTCTTTATGCTGTTTCATTAGTGCTAAGATCTTTACATTAAAAAAAACACTCAGAATATATATTAATTTGAAAACGAATGTGCTGTCATACCTGCCATAGAGACCACCTGTCTTTTTCTATTACCTAATTTTGGGTGGGAAAGACAGAAAAAATGAAAATTCTTGTAAAATAGTAGAGATGACTTTATTTCTGCTTCACAGGAAACTGGAGTACACAAGAGAAACACTGGTAGCCTTTAAGAAAGAGAAGGACGAGGCTGCAGCAGCCAAAAAAGGAGGAGGGGCCGGAGGATTCGGGGGTTTTGGAGGAGGATCTGACGACAAGAAGGTGAATGTCGGTCTCCTGGACCCGTATTCATGAAACTGTTCTCATACTCAAGCGTGGATTCTGTGCTTAAACCAACTTTCTTGTAACTCACTTAAATCATGTCTAACGATCTAAAGGTCAATTCTAACCATTGAAAACAGTATTCAGCTTTAAGTCTCATTAATTTTTTCCCAAATCATGACATAATGATATTTTATTATAATCTTATAGCCGAAACAAGACTTTAGGCTTGAGCACAAAATCCATGCTTGAGCACGAGAATGGTTTCATGAATACGGTTCCTGGTGTTTCTTTTGTCTCCAGTGAGGGCAGATGTATGGTCTTGGTTTTGTCTCCAGTGAGGGCAGATGAATGGGGCTGGGGGCCCTGGTGTTTCTTTTGTCTCCAGTGAGGGCAGATGTATGGGGCTGGGGGCCCTGGCGTTTCTTTTGTCTCCAGTGAGGGGAGATGTATGGGGCTGGGGGCCCTGGCGTTTCTTTTGTCTCCAGTGAGTGCAGATGTATGGGGCTGGGGGCCCTGGCGTTTCTTTTGTCTCCAGTGAGTGCAGATGTATGGGGCTGGGGGCCCTGGTGCTTCTTTTGTCTCCAGTGAGGGGAGATGTATGGGGCTGGGGGCCCTGGTGTTTCTTTTGTCTCCAGTGAGGGTAGATGTATGGTCTTGGGGCTGGTTCTCCTAAGTTGTTTTATTGTAGCATGGTCACTTGACCTTCCTCAATCGGGCGTGAAACGGTATTTGGCCACCTGCCCGATCACGTGGGTTTTCTCCAGGCATTCTGGTTTCCTCCCATATTACGACCCCCTGCATGCTTCCATCAGGGCCAACAAGGATGATTTATATAACTTGGAAAAACTGATTTCATATTTAACTGTTATAAAATAAACAAAGTTTGCTTTATAAGGTTCTGTTCCGAACTCCCACAAGTGTGTTGTGTGCTGTAATTACATACGTTGAAGGGTACACATACTGTTCTGTTTTCTACTTTCTAACTCTATATAACTTTTAATAATTGGTATCATTATCTGGTTTGAGGGAATGGTAACTTTATATAATATCATGTATGTTTGTGTTCTGATTAACACACATTACCTTTTGAAAAACTGTTGATTATAAATCAATCATTTAAACCAGTCCATTCTGACCTGTACATATGACATCATTTGTTACAGGGAGGTAGACCATCCCCAACTCCGGGTCAGAAACACGCCGCCTCGTCCAGTGACGTGAGCAAGGGCAAGTCCAGCGAGGATGTCACAGAGGGTGAACCAGAGTTATCTCCCCTGGAACAGCAAATGATGGTGGCTGAGGAAATCATGTGAGTTGATTGGAAAAAGGAGTTTTTTTTACCCAAACCCAAATAGATTTGATACTGTGTGAATATTGCATTTTTGTGTCGCCTGCAACGGGAGGCGCCATTATAGGTATTACTTTGTAGGCGCCATCGTTGGTTGAGTCGTCCAAAGCAAGGCTTCTGTGCAATAACTTGAGTTTCCTTTGTTTGATTGAACTCAAACTTCGAACACATATTGCATACTAATAAAGCTCAGATGACTTCGCATTTCAGAAGTTGACATGCATTTTTGGTGGAGTTATGCCCCTTTTATTGCCAAATAAGGTGACTGTATAGTGAATGCAAGATTTTTTTGATTTTTTTTTAATCAATTCTTTTAAAATTTTGTACGGTAATGCTAGAAACAATAATGTTCGACTTATATTACTGGTTTTTCTGTCAAGTTTCAACTTTTTGTGTTTTGGCATATTACACTTGACATAGCAATGCTGTTAATCGTTTTTGACGTTTATTTTTTCTTGTTTACTCGATAACTCAAGCCAAAACACTTTCCTTACTTAAAGCACTGAGCAGGTGACACATCATCCTCGATATCCAGGGGTTACGCTCACTTTCACTCTCTAGAGAGCGTAGGTGATCGTAACCCCTGGAAATCGAGGATGGCGACACATCCACTCCTGTGGAACTCTTGTATCGTCACTGTTCTTATTTTTCTATTTTTTTCTGTGAAAAGGAAACCTAGCAAAAATATTTTTGATATCTTAGATTTAGTCTAGTTTCCTGTCAAATTACATATAGGAAACTGAGAACTGGATCCTGTATAATAAATGGAGTGCAGATCTAACAAACACTGAACAAAGAAACCAATTTACAACCTTGCCTTGTCTTTGACACAGGATGCTGTATAACCAAGACTACCTGCTGAAGAAGATTGATGAGCTCCTCAGCGACTTTGATGCGGAGCTCCGACTTCTCCGACACGACAAGTTCAGACTTGACATTGTGATGAAGAATGCTGATCTTAGGTAGGAGATGTTTTTTTAACCGAAAATACGTTTGTGAAGTCATAGCAAGGATTTGTTTGGAATTACCTTACTTTTACAGAACTAACTTACACATATTTATTTTAGGAAGAACAGATGCCTGTATAAAGGATGTTTTGTTTTTCAGATTTTAATGGACGGCAACTTAATGAAATTATTTTGAGGTACAATTAAAAGTGTTTGATAGCCAACAAGATCTTTAACTTCTGGTTTATTACAGAAATGTGATCTTGGTTGACATTTTAATTTATAGACAAGTGACATTGATTAAAATATTTTCTTACCTAAAATGTGGGTTGCGGACAAATAACATCAGTTAAAATTTTGATTTATGGGCAAATTGGTTGACCTTCTGGCTTGCATACAAATGACCTCAGTTGACATTTTGACTTACATTTACCTGTTAATTGTGTTACAGATATATGACCTTGGTTGACCTTTTGACTTATCTGGGTGTTTTTTTACAGACAAGTGACCCTATTTGAGGAGTTTGTGTTGCTGAAGGAGTTTGAGAAGAGAGAGGATGTGCTGGCGGCCAAGGTCACAGGAAAACAACAGGAGAAACTGGACATGCAGCTTAAGGTGGGTGTTGGTGGACCATTCGTCTGGCAATATTCTTTATTTATATTATTATTTCTCACAGGTCTCTGCTTCACTCATTAAGTGAGATAAAAAATATACTTGAATCTTTAATAAAAAAAATCTTATATTTCAAATATTTGAGTGTTATACCCAAACGGATGGCAATTGGTAAATTATTGCAGTACAGTATAATTAGGCTATAACAGAGATGAACATTTTTCAGCTGTTTTGCTGACTTCAGACTTTTTTCAGAATTTTAATGTAATACAGAACTTGACTTTTTCCCATAGAAAGGATTACAAAGTCTGATTTCCAGGATTTCTGTTTGTTAATAATTTTTTGTCTCCACTGTGATGTAATATGACTGCTGTGTTGTTACAGATCATTGATGTACAAGGCAAGCTGGAGGCAAAGAAGAAGGAGATAGAAAAACTGCTGGAGAAAGAACGTTCACTCAACATCACCTTCCATGGATCGCTCGGCGACAACAACAAATTCTCTGACTACCTCTCTAAAGTCTTCAAGAAAAAAATCAAGCGTGCCAAAAAGAAGACAACAGACGAAGGTTTATAACACTGTCAATTATTTTTGGGGATCCGACTCTTTTGTCTGTGGTTATTGTCTAAATTGTTACTTCACTCTAAAATCATTGTTACGGTAGACTGACCTCTGTCTGTGATTCTTATCTGAATTAACTCATTCACCCCTGAAATTTCATAATGAACTATTCCAACCATTGAATTGGAGGAGTTCAAATGTGTCTTCAGGGATGAATAAGTTCAACTTATTCTCTGATAATAAATTTGCTTTAAATGTATCAAGTTATTATATTATAATATATATATGTGATACAATCAGAGGGTGGACTTTTTTGTCACCAACACATTAAGTTCTGAACATGAATCTGAAATAGAGTAAATAATGGATTATTCAAGCAGTATCAATTCTCATGTGAGTATAATAGGTTTATGTTTCTGTAGACAAAGAGCCGGTAGCTCTCTTGCTATAATGAAGTTGATGATGCCATTAAACTTTTAGAATTAATTTTCAGACTTCTGATTTACTGCTAAAACAAGTGATTTTACTGTAAAAAAAACCTTGATTTAACTTTAAAAATAAACATTCCTGAAGGATCGGACGATGACAGTGATGAAGACTCGAGCGATGACGATGATTGGGATGAGGACGAGGATGACGAGGACGAGGATGCTCTAGGATACGACCTTGACATCTGTCCGTCCGGCTGTGACCAGAACCTCTACGACAACACCTGTCAGATGCGTGAGAAGCGTTTAGACATTGAGGAGGCGTTGACTGAGGAGAAGAAGAACAACGAGGCCCTGAAGAAGGAGCTCGACAGCTTCAACAGGAAGGCCAAGGTCATCGATGCTGGACTCAAAACGGCAGCCAATGACTTGGAGGCATTCCAGGTTTGTGTTTATTTATTGTCGTCTTTGAATGTACAACAATTCTTTTTGGATGCTTTTCAGTTTTGTAGTTTTAGAGTTTAATATAAATATGGTATAGTGTCACTACTAATTGATTGTTTTTCTATGACAGCTTGAGAAGCAGCAGAAACTAAACGAGTTGGATGTGATTGTGACGCTGAAGCTGCACCAGATCCAGTACATGTTGAACGGCCAGCTCCCTCAGGACCTGTCTCAGACCCTTGTGTTTGAGTCCAACGGTGTCGTAAGGCTACAGCAACGCATCAAGGAACTGGAGCACGAAAAACATGCTCAGAAGAAACATATGAGGTGAGTCAATCTTAACCCTTTCACCCCTATGTCACTTTAGTAGACTCTACCATGCATTGATCTAGATGAGTCCATTATGGTCTACAGTGAAAGGGTTAATGACCGTGAATTTAGGAAACGTGTGAATATCAAGGTTTTCTTTTTACACAAGCAATGTACATACCAAATATGTCCCAATGTTTCAAGACCAACTGGTCTCTTCGTCTGACTGAGTAAGCGATGTGTATTGGTGCTCACTAAGTCATTGGTTGACCAAGAGACCAGTCGGTCTGGAAATGTTGTGACACGTTTGTTACATGTTTTGTTTGCGTAAAAAGTTAAACCTTGATTCATACATATTTCCAAACAGATGAATCTTGTTGAAGACAGCATGTGAGTTAGGTCAGCCACCAGTTGGTTGTCATCTGAGGGAATGGAATAATATATACCGAGGGTATCACTGTCACACTCGGCTTCGCAGCAGAGATCTTCTCTGTATCTATCTTTCAAAGACATGTGATAGCTGTGATACTAGATCATATACAGGGGTATATTGTGTGGAATGCTGGAAAATTAAGGTTTGTTGTAGAATGTTACAGTAGGCCATTCTTCTGATATAAAACCTGGTTTTCTGTCTGACAGAGAGTCGAAGCGGAAACACGTTCAGCTCATCAAGGACCGTAAAGTGTTTGACAGTAAGATCGGGGAGATGGAGTCGGAATGTGACAAACTGATGGTAGATAAGTTTGGCTGTATCGTGGACCTGGAGAAGTTAGAGACGATAACGGTGAACCGACAGATAGAGGAGCTCAAGGAGAAGCTACGAATCACGGAGATACAGTGTTCCGAGGAGATAGAGGAATGGAATGTGAGTAGGCCCGGGAATACCTTCATGTTCAAAACCCCAACATAACAGATATACGTCGCCTGGGAATACTGTCATGATCAAACCCCCAACTTAACAGATATACGTCGCCTGGGAATACTGTCATGTTCAAACCCCCCAACTTAACTGATATAATAAGTCGCATGGGAATACTGTCATGTTCAAACCCCCAACTTAACAGATATAATAAATTGCCTGGGAAAGCTGTCATGTTCAAACCCCCAACTTAACAGATATGATAAGTCGCCTGGGAATACTGTCATGTTCAAACCCCCAACTTTACAGATATAAGTCGCCTGGGAAAACTGTCATGTTCAAACCCCCAACTTAACAGATATCATAAGTCGCCTGGGAAAACCGTCATGTTCAAAACCCCAACTTAACAGATTTATGCTGTGGCTGGGATATCCTTTACAAAATTGTACTCAGCAACAAAACCGCAAAACAGCTTTTTATGAAGGTTACTTGAATTTGGTTGAATAATGCACAGGAATTGATGACACATAAAAGGTACACCAGAATCAATGACATTGATAACCTGATCATTTTGAATTATTTAGAGAATGACAAAGAATATTTTCTGGATGTGCTGTACAAAGTTAAATCACTGGAAGATCTTTTCATTAATTTGTGAAGTTGCTTATACAAAAAATGTACAGTAGAGTCCTTCTTTCTAACTTTTCTGCATGGAGTTTTCAGACATTTATAACGGTTCATAACTGTTACAATGTTAAATGTGACTGCTGTCTGTTTTTGTAGGAGAAGATCGTTGAAAGGAAGGACAGAATCACGCACCTGATCCGAGACAACACCCGGAGATTAGACCAATTATGTGTTTTACTGAATGATAAAAAAGAGTACGAGTCGTCACTGGATGTCAGACAGGAGAGCTCGGTAAGTTTATGATATGTCAGACAGGAGAGCTCAGTAAGTTGAAATGTCAGGCAGGAGAGCTTGGTAATTTGATATGTCAGACAGGAGAGCTCGGTAATTTGATATGTCAGGCAGGAGAGCTCGGTAAGTTGAAATGTCAGACAGGAGAGCTTGGTAAGTTGATATGTCAGACAGGACAGCTCGGTAAGTTGATATGTCAGGTAGGAGAGCTCGGTAAGTTAAAATGTCAGACAGGAGAGCTTGGTAATTTGATATGTCAGACAGGAGAGCTCGGTAATTTGATATGTCAGGCAGGACAGGTCGGTAAGTTGATGTCAGGCAGGACAGCTCGGTAAGTTGATATGTCAGGAAGGAGAGCTTGGTTAGTTAATATGTCAGACAGGAGAGCTCGGTTAGTTGATATGTCAGGTAGGAGAGCTCGGTTAGTTGAAATGTCAGACAGGAGAGCTTGGTAAGTTGATATGTCAGACAGGAGAGCTCGGTAAGTTGATATGTCAAGTAGGAGAGCTCAGTTAGTTGATATGTCAGACAGGAGAGCTCAGTAAGTTGATATGTCAGGTAGGAGAGCTTGGTTATTTGATATGTCAGACAGGAGAGCTTGGTAAGTTTATATAAACAAATCAGATCACATGTTACATACAGTAGACTTATTTAATAGTCTCCAACACTTGTACGAGGTTAATAATAGGATGTTTAGAAGAACTCACTCAGTTTTTACCTGTTAGACTTATAGTCCTGAAAATTTATATGTAAATTGATAATCATGTAAAAGTCCTAACTTTCTCATCATATAGCATTTAGTCTAGATTTTATTTCCAAGATTAAAGTCATATACTGGCTTCCTTCACCGAAACAAAAAATCAATGAAAAAAAGAAGTTGTGCACAGTTCTTGCAGTCTATCAGTCACTTACACACTGTTTCCTGATGTTCCAGGGTGAAGAGTACAGTGGAGCACGGAAGGCAGACATTCGTGAGAAACAACGTCTGATACAACTCGTCCAGCTGCAGGCTCAGGAAATAGATGCTCTCAAGGAAGAGATTATGTTGCTGTCGAGGAAAGGCGGACACATTCTACCTCCCGCCCAACCCCCGCTACCGCAAACTCCACAGAACGTGCGAACTATCAGTAACTAGGCCTAGTATCATTGACAATGTGGTTATGCCCGGTATGTGGATGTGATATAAAAAAACAATTTACGAAGGAACATTCTGTTCTACAAAAAAATGAAATGGATGCATAACCGTTTTTATACCATTTGTTACACATTCAGTAGGTTGTAAAGGAAAAAATCTAATTTATGAACAAAATGTTCAGATCAGAAGCAAAGTTTTGTTAAAAACTTTTGAGTTTACTACAAAATAAGTTTCTACTTAAAAAGAAAAACCCTTCCAAAAAAAATCAAAACTGAAATTCAGTTACTCATATTTTCCTAAACATTATCTGTACAACTTCACTCCATATGGAGACTTAAACAGAATTACTATGAACACATATAGACTCTGTCCCTATTTCTGCTTTGATATCAAATCCGTCCATTTTAGTGTTTATAATTTATATCTTTGATCAGACACAAGTACTTCTGTATATTTCATAAATATTTTTGTTGAAATATTACTCAAATTTATATTTTAACAAAGAATTAGCCTCCACAGAATACAGATTTTACTGACCTAGAAAATGTCATTCAACTCATTTCATGTATAAAAGACAATATCTATATGATAATGCATACTATATGGAAAACGAAAGTTAATTTGCTTTTAGCATTCCAACCTGACTGTGATATAGATATGTACTGTTGATACCACATATATCTCTTTGATGTATATGATGTCAATCACCTGCAGTTTATTTATGATATACATTGTACTTATGATTGTGCTTAATTATGTAAAATAAATGAAACAATAAATTAGAATTGCTTTGTTGATATTATTTTGATTTCGTTTCAGATACTAAAATTGACATTTATGCTCTGAGAAATCTGTCAACCTTTCCAATTTAGACTTATTTAAATCTTCTATGTTATCTCCTCTTTGGGAGAGAACAGGGTATTTTATTGGATCTGTCTGTCTCCACTAGTACCACGGACTTAGATAGATCTTAATGGCGGGTTTGAAGCCATACAATAATTCAAGTTGGCAACGGTGTAGGTTCACTATAAACTTTAGCAATTTGAGACATTTAACTAGTATTTGACACAACAAATATGATAAAAATAAAGACAGAAGTAAATCAAAAATCAATTACTTTGAACTCTGGTAAATGTTACGGTACAGGATTCCCCAGAATGTATAACTTTTCAAAGGCAATAAATGTCTACGATGAACCTATGCGGAAGAGGCAGTTGCCCTTTAATCTAATTCCGTGCTAGTACTAACTGTTTTATAGATTTCCGTAATCCTCCTAACTGTGGTCCAATTTTAACAAAATCCGGTGTACACGTTCATAGGTGTAATTGTCAGTCTAAGTTTGACTGATAATCTTCATACTTGCCAGGGGGNATCTACACCCTAGGGGAAATAACACTTGTAAAAGATGACAGCTTTTGAGCTTTCAGATGTAATCAGCAGAATTTAGAAAATAAGAATAGTTAATTGAAAATGCTTAATTTTAGAATCCAAAATCGCGAATCTCCTTCCTAAATAGGATGAGTTGGCAGATATGAATATAAGTCGCCCAAATTATGGTTCTATTTAACAAAATTCGATGTATGTTACCTATGGTTGAGTTTGCTAGCAGCCTCCACAATTAATGAACACTGATAGTATCTACACAGCAAGCCAGTATAGTTCCCTGGTATGTCTGGGTAGAATTCTCCATCCAATCGGACTTAAAGACTGAAAACCAGTTTATGTTTTGTATAGAAGTACTTAAATACTTTTCAAAATGTTCCAAAAATTTCATTCCGTGCTAACACCAAACTTTTCTCCAACCAGCCACACTGTTGGAGATAGATAAAACTAATTACGATGGAATGTTCAGAAACATGTTAACTCTAGTGTAAAATATACTGTATAATGTTAATTATAATATCGACATAACCTGGCGTACCTATTCATATGTAATTAACCAGCAATGCTTTCCACGTAACCGCGCAGCCTAGTTGAGAACTGCCTGTTAGAAATACCACAGAATCACGGAGATGCGATTCCTCCGTGGAAAGTTCTGGAAGAACTCCATGTAACAGTCTGCCAAGTCTCCCGCTACACCGAATAGTAGGGTGTCGGGGAATCGTCAGTCAGACACACGGGGTCTAGTATTCTTTATCACTAAGATTTCTAAATGATAGTTTTATTTACGAGATTTTACACAGAAAGTGTCTTAACAGTCCTTTAAACGTCGGTATTTTGCTGGTGTATCGTCTGGCGGGACTTGTGTGCTAAGGATATTTACGCTGTGCATGAAGACATATTCAGAAGGAATTGAGTTTGATCAGAGACGCATATGTCTCTGATTTGTTATGATTAACTAATTATTTTGAAGTAGTATTTAAGACATAATCAGCATATATGCGTGTGGTATGGTAAAAAAATATAACGACGATTTTAAAATACAAGATTTTTTTTTTAACAAAGGCCTCTTTGGGCCATGCAGCGTTTTCGAATCCCGATTTTGTTTGTGGTATACATTTTTCCTTCATTTAGCGTTGTGTTTTTAAATTGGCGATTGTCTGGTGATTAAAACCCACCACAGTATACAAAAATATGTTTGATGACATGAATAAGAAAATGTCATTGACTGTATCGTCGTGTCTACTTTAAGACGTTACAATGATCATCTCGCCAACAAACCGATGTCACAAGCGGACCGAGTTGTTCAAAACACTGGCCTAAGTTTTCCACGGGATGAGATACAGTCATTCCGGATTTATCGTATCCGGAATTTTTTGGCAACATTTCTTGGAAGTTCGGGATGCTGCTATATGTTTGTGTAAGTGACAAAAACCGTTTCCCCTCAGGTACAGCAGTTGACCTGGCCCAATGAGTATACATTGTGTAGTTTGGACAAAATGCACTATGCATTTTAGGGTTGACGCTAATTTTACAATTTTCTTTGATCATATATGCGCATTGACACAGTCAGTCGTGCCGACTAATCGGTTCGTCATGCCAGAGCACTGTCGGTGAATTGAAACAGTGCTTTCTATGCATACTGTTGGAGGTCATCTGTACACTTAAAATTGATTGTAAATTTTGAGCCAAATGTATACCCGCTGTGTAGCGGATTATCATCTCGATTACTAAAGCCTCGTTTTGAGCAGCCATGTCCAGGTTGCTAAAAAAAACGTTAACGTCCACCACGTGGTTAGTGAAAAATTCAAACTGTTGCCACTAAAAACGTGGTTTCAAAGCAATATATGCTCAAAATTCATCATTCTGATCTGACATAACAAGTCTGTAGCAGTGAAATGATGTCAGATGTTTTTGATTTTGTTGTATTAGAATACAAAAAAATCCCCCTAACCATTGTTTAAACTCTAAGCGACCTTTAACAAACCTGTATACTCGTCACCATTTTTGACGTTGCTTCAGTGGTCATGTTGTGCCAGTTAGACATGGACATATGTGAAAACGTTGAGGTGTGTAGATGTACATGTATTCCTGTACCTTCACTCTACTAAGCCGATTCGTCCAAGTGTTGTTAAATCTCCGGCAGGGTAGAATCTGTATTTTGTTGTCTTTAAAATATATCAAGGAAGTAAGTACTGAGCAGACAACGCTTCTCAGTTGTTTGTTTGTTTGAGTGGTTAAACGTCCGCTTCACTACCCAGAGGTTAATCTCCACAGATCGTACAGCGATGGCGTTATAGCAATTTTATATGCTGACGATGCTGTATTCTCCTTTCTGATACACGATAACAAGGAAATTAGTCCTGAGCAAACGATCGTACAGTGATGGCGTTATAGCAATTTCATATTCTCACGATGCTGTATTCTCCTTTCTGATACATGATAACAAGGAAATTAGTCCTGAGCAGACGTCACCTTTCAAAGATCGTACAGTGATGGTGTTATAGCAATTTAATATGCTGACGATGCTGTATTCTCCTTTCTGATACATGATATCATGGAAATTAGTCCTGAGCAGACGATCGTACAGTGATGGCGTTATAGCAATTTCATATTCTCACGATGCTGTATTCTCCTTTCTGATACATGATAACAAGGAAATTAGTCCTGAGCAGACGATCGTACAGTGATGGCGTTATATCAATGTAACATGCTGACGAAGCTGTATTCTCCTTTCTGATACACGATCATTTCCTTACTATATGTATCCTCTGTTAAGGTAACATTTAAAACAAACTCATTTGTTTTCTATTCCACTAATTGCATTCTTTGACACGTTGGTAATTTTCTGACATTGTTCTGCTGCTGATTTGTATCGAGAGTCCATCTTGGTATACTATCTGTCTTGTCTACCTGTTCAATGTTTTTGCCCCATGTATGATGTACTTGTTGTAATACGACTGTGAAGATGGTATGAAATCAAATTGAACTGTCTATTTGCCAGCATTTTCCCTTTTGATACGCCCGTCATATTTTGACGGGAGTATTATGGTATGGGGTCGCCCGTCCGTCCGTCCGTCCGGCGTAAACTTTTGTTTGTCCGGCAATCTCCTCCTACATTTTTCGACCGATCTCTTTGAAACTTGGTATAAAAATTATAATCATGATATGAAGTTGTGTCTCCCTTAAAAGAATTTTGATTCGACAATTTTTCCAAAAGTTATTGCCCTTTGTTTATTTCAGTATTTGATTTTTTTGTCCGGCAATCTCCTCCATCATTTTTTAACGGATCTCTTTGAAACTCGGTATACATTATAATCATGATATGAAGTTGTGTCTCCCTTAAAATAAATTTGATTCAACGATTTTTGCAAAAGTTATTGCCCTTTTCATTTCAGTATTTGATTTTTTGTCCGGAGATTTTCTCCTACATTTTTTATAGCATGTCAGCTAACCACTCTTAGAACGATGCAGATCTTATTTCAATGTAAGAAATTATATAACACTATATGGTATTCGACGGGCGTATATTGTTCCGCCCCGCGGTACTTTTGTTGAGACTATGGTATGTCATATAGTTGTGAAGGTGTCATTGAAATGACACAACAGAAACATTATATTAGGACAATTGTGACTTTCACGTAGCTGCACGACTGTAATGTTGGCTGGTAGATCCAAATTACGAATGTCAACACGGATTCCGTTCCAATACATTCGACATTTCATTTTGTGTCCTCGCTCACGTTGACACGCGCATTTTGATGCTTTGCCATCCATCTTTACAGTCCCGAAGTGAAAGTGGGAGGTTCTTTTAAGCGATTAACATCGTCAGACTTATAAAACTACCTGGAATGACTATCGATTCCATACACATTATTGATGCTTTTGTTGCATAAGAAACTTACGAATTATCACCATTTAAAATGATGCTTCATACCTGTAAACCAATTACCACACAGTCACAACTAACAAATCAATTGGTACACGTAATTGCATTTAATAGAAGTGTTCATGTACATATATACAATTCAAATGGTACAAGGGTCGTTCTCATTCAAGCGCTTTATAATGATACCCACCAGTAAGACCTCCGCAAGCGTACCCTGTGTCACGCCGGTTACCTGTCGGACATTACTCTAGTTCCATCTGCAGATAGATTTACCTTACAACAACCTTCACACTTACAAGCACTAAGGATGTTGTTTAACAAATAAATCTTTTAATTTCCCTTAGCCAGCTTATTATGTTGTATAACTCATTAACTATTTCGAAGCTCGTTTATCTTATTTAGCTGTGGCACAAAACAATCAGAAATCAGCCGACCTTCATAAACAAACGCTGAATGTCCGCCAGCATGACGATACTAGCTAGTTTAGCAATGTAAACAGACCTGGCGCTG